GTCCTGAAGGAGCTGGCCAATGAAGTTGCTAAGCCACTGGCCCTCATATTTGAAAAAATTATGGCAGTCAGGTGAAGTTCTCAACAACTGGAAAAAGGGAAATATAACCCCCATTTTCAAGAAGGGGAAAATGGATGACCCAGGAAGTTGCAGACCAGTCAGTCTCACCTCTGTGCCTGGCAAAATCTTGGAGCAGATTCTCCTGGAAGGCATGCTAAGGCACATGAAAATCAACAGGGTGCTTGGTGACAGCCAGCATGGCTTCACTGAGGGGAGATCCTGCCTGACCAATTTGGTGGCCTTCTACGATGGGGCTACAGAACTGATGGACAGGGGTAGAGCAGTTGATGTCATCTACCTGGACTTGTGCAAAGCGTTCAGCACTGTCCCCCATGACATCCTTGTCTCTATATTGGAGCGACATCAATTTGATGGATGGACCACTCAGTGGATAAAGAACTGGCTGGATGGCCGCACACAAAGAGTTGTGGTCAATGGCTCAATGTCTGGCTGGAGACCAGTAATGAGTAGTGACCCTCAGGGATCGGTGTTGGGACCGGTCATGTTCCACATCTTTGTCAGTGACATGGACAGTGGGATTGAGTGCGCCCTCAGCAAGTTTGCCGATGACACCAAGCTGTGTGGTTTGGTTGACAGGCTGGAGGGAAGGAATGCCATCCAGAGGGACCTTGACACGTTTGTGAGGTGGGCTGATGCCAACCTTATGAAGTTTAACCATGCCAAGTGCAAGGTCCTACACCTGGGTCGGAGCAATCCCAGGCACAGCTACAGGTTGGGCAAAGAGATTCAGAGCAACCCTGCAGAGAAGGACTTGGGGGTGCTGGTCGATGGGAAAATGAACGTGAGCCAACAGTGTGCACTTGCAGCCCAGGAAGCCAACCGTATCCTGGGCTGCATCTAAAGGAGCATGACCAGCAGGTCGAAGGAGGTGATCCTGCCCCTCTACTCTGCTCTCATGAGACCTCCCTTGGAGTATTGTGTGCAGTTCTGGTGTCCTCAACAGAAAAGGGACATGGAACTGTTGGAACAAGTCCAGAGAAGGGCCACGAGGATGATGAGGGGGCTGGAAGCACCTCCTGTATGAAGATAGGCTGAGAGAGTTGGAACTGTTCAGCCTGGAGAAGAGAAGGCTGAGTGGAGACCTCATAGCAGCCTTCCAGTATCTGAAGGGGGGCTGTAGGGATGCTCGGGAGGGACTCTTCATTAGGGAGTGTAGTGATAGGACAAGGGGTAATGGGTTTAAACTTAAACAGGGGAAGTTTAGATTGGATATGAGGAAGAAGTTCTTTCCTGTGAGGGTGGTGAGGCACTGGAATGGGTTGCCCAGGGAGGTTGTGAATGCTTCATCCCTGGTGGTGTTCAAGGCCAGGTTGGACAGAGCCTTGGGTGGCATGGTTTAGTGTGAGGTGTCCCTGCCCATGGCAGGGGGATTGGAGCTAGATGATCTTAAAGTCCTTTCCAACCCTAACTATTCTATGATTCTCTGATTTATGCGCACTCTATATGTTTCCATACTGAAACAGCTTGTAGCCTTTGAAATTAAAACTCAAACATTAAAATGGAAATCTGGAAGTACTGCTTGTTCATGTTGGTGGACCTTCTAAATGTCATGTTTATTGGGTTTTACTTAAAAATGGAGGCGTTTTTTCAGTGGCTTTACTGTCGTTGAACTGCCTTGATTTCAGACAACCTGTCTGCAGTGCTGTACAGATGTAACTACTACATTATGTTCCTTGGAGAAAAGACTGTTCTGTAGCCTCTGGACTTCAGTATTTTTTCTTTGAGAAAGCAGAAGGTAATTTTAAGGTAATAGTATGTGCAAATTCAAAAAGAAAAATCAAAAATGTTACGAGCAGAAGAAATTAAATTATTTTGCAGTCTTATGTAAGTACTTCAGAAGTGATAGCATGGAAAGTCTGTCAAAGGCTACGTGCCACTGACTACAAGTGTGGCAATGAGTGTTTGCAAGTTTGATTTGTGGTGTTACAAATTACATTAAAATCATCTTCTGTTCCTTCTTTAAAATATAGATATCTATAGATACCTGTAGATGTCTGTATATATACATCTGTATCTCACTGTCTTATCAAGTTACAGGAGCAGACTGTAGATTTTTTCTGTATTTTTAAAGTAATCATAGGATTACGGGGTAATTCAGGTCAGAAGGGACCTCAGGAGGTCACTAGTCTAACATCTTCATTAAAGCCACCTCTGCTGTGACATTTGGCTAGGTTGCCATCTGGTCTTGCAACCCAGCAAAGATGGAGATTATAGAACTTCTCTGAGCAACTAGTTCCACTGATTGAGTGTACCTCAGGGTAAAAATGTGGCCTTACATTCAGTGAGAACTTCTGCTTTTGCAGTGTTGATAGACTAAATTGAACTACTTAGGCAAGTTTTTTCATTTCATTAAGAAGTTCCTTTTTCTTATTGCCTGTAAGTCTTGAAGACCTATCATTGTGCTTATTTCCAAGTAATTGGCTATTTTTCCCTAAGGCTCTTTCAGATTTTAATATGACTGGATTTTTTCAGTGCACTTTTAACTGTGTTTGCATAAGACAAAATATTATCCTTCAGTGAATGAGCAGTAGCAAGGAAAGATGGTCAGAGCCTTCTAGCAACTTCCAGCAACTCTGGAAAGAGTCAGAAGTTCTGTATTTCAGGACAGCTGCTGTGGTATACACATGCTTTTGGTGGTCCCTGTAGTGGTCGGTATTGAACTTACTAAATTAAGAAACTTGGAAATTGCGATCCTCCCCTCAAGTATAGTCTAACAAGAGAGAATAATCTTTTGACAGTACGTTTTTGACGCAGCTGTAAATTAAAAGCAGTACATGATAGTTTTCCAGGAAATATGTTTCATTTTAAGATACAATAAATTTTAGCTGAACATCACTAGTAAAATATTTAAGCTTAAATATGATTACTTCATAGTGACCAGAAACTCCTATCTTTCTCCTCCAGTACTGCTTTTTTTTTTATTCTGCAACTGTATTCCACTAGAGAATAAGTGTCAGGTATCTGGAAAGATATTTTTCTAATAGGAGCTTTTGAGCAATAGTTTTTTTCTCTCAAAATATGCAGAGCAATTCACAGTGGCTTCATCTCATAAGCATCTCAATAGAAGCATAAGAGCAACAGACTGTTATCATGTGCTTGGAATATAAAAAAAACAAACAGTAATGGGAAAGGTGGTGTCTGAGTACTTTCTCAGCATTTGTAAGAATTAGCAATGTATGAGTAATATATGTAGGAGAGAAGGGTTCAACACATACACTTCTGGGGACAGAAAACAAATGAGATTAAGGAAAAAAATATTTTGATGTGCATTTAGTTTTACTACTTGAAAAGTTAAGATTTTTCAGTAGGGTATTTGTATGTAGTCTGAAGACTCCTTGTCCTGGGTTTAGCAGTAGCAGTCAGTTTTTTCTCCTTCTTAGTATCTGGTGCAGTGTTGTGTTTTGACTTTCAGCCTGGGAACAGCACTGATAACACTGATGTTTTCAGTTGTTGCTAAGTCATGTTTACTCTGACCAAGGACTTTGTGAGTCTCATGCTCTGCCAGGGAGGAGGGGAGGCCGGGAGGAAGCAGAGACAGGACACCTGACCCAAACTAGCCAAAGAGGTATTCCATACCACAGCATGTCATGCCTGGGGAGGTAACTGGGAGTTATCCAAAAGGGCACAGGCTCTCTTTTGGGTCGGGCTTGTTTCAGTGGGTGGTATCGTATTCTCTTCCCTTGTTATTTTCTCTTATCATTATTATTATTGGTGGTAGCAGTAGTGGTTTGTGTTATACCTTAGTTACTGGACTGTTCTTATCTCAACCTGTGGGAGTTACATTCTTTCAATTCTCCTCCCCATCCTTCCAGGAGCGAGGAGTGGGGGGGGAAGGAAAGAAAGAGGGAGGAAGGTGGGGAGTGAGTGAATGAGCTGAGTGGCTGGGTTTAAACCATGACACTCCTAGGCATACTCAGGTGGGGGTCTGAGTATTGGTAGTACATGTGCATTCTGGCTATTGCACTGCTCCTCTGCACCCCCGCAAGATTTGTGTGACCTGAGATTCTTTTGCTTACATTGGATTTATCAAAGATGGTTTTGCATGTATGTACATAGTTGTTCTTAATATTCTTTCTCTTAAATATTTAGTTATGATTTATAACTTCTCCTGTGTGAAATTGCATATTTTTCTTCAGAGCTTTGATGTAAGTTGAACTGTATGTAGAATACATCACTTAAGCTGTATCTTTTAAAAATAATTTTTGAAGTAAAAAAGGAGTCTCTGCCACCTTTTTTAATACTGAGGAGAAAAATGGGTGATTTGTTGATATTCTCCGTTTTCAGTAGGGTGAAAACTGGAATCAGCAGTTAATGGCCATTCCCTTTTTCTTGGGCCAGGCTGTGTGCTAAATGAGAGGCCTGCTAGGTCTGTGGCAGCAGCAGGAGGGATGGTCTGTGAAAACTGGGTTTGTGTAGTTTGTAACCAAACCAGAAATGGTTTAGTCACCAAACTGCTGTGTTTCATGTCTGGGACATGTTATGGTTATTTGTGTGGTACTTTAATTTAGAGGTGATAAAGCAATGTGGCGGTTTTGGGGGTTATTTGGTTTGGTTTATCTTTTTAACTTTTTCTTCCAGAGGTACTATAGATCTATATTGTAAGCTCCTGGAAAAGAGTTGTTTAGTTTCTTCAGAGTTTCCTTCTTGTGGAGGACAACAATTGCCTTCTTGACTTTATTTCAATCAGAAAATAAATGTAAACTCTTAAAGTATTTTAAAGATTTCCAACTGGACATAAATGAGTTGCTGAATCTATTGACTTGTGCTGAAGCACAAATGTTGTGTCCTGGACTTTCACCCTCTGCTTAGTTCTTCTGCAGAACTGAGACTCATTACACAGTTGAGGTGCTCTGCTTGATAATGCAGTTGGATTTTGTTATCCAGAAGTAATTTATTTCACTTGTCACATTTTCTTTCAGGAGACAAATGACTCCCCTGATGTATGCAGCTCGAAAAGGCTATCCTCAGGTTGTTGCTCTTCTTGTCGCTCATGGAGCACACATAAATGCCCAAGATGACAATGGATATTCAGTAAGTGATTTACTTCTCTGTGATGTAATTAACAATAAAAACATTAAAAAGCAGGAACACACAAACTTGTTTTTAAGTGCAACATTCTCTGAAATACTCATTGGTATATTCTTCTTTGAGAATCTCCACTTTGAGATTCTTTTGCATTAATTATCTTCATCTCCAGATTCTGCCATGTAAGAATTTTGAAGGTTACATTATTGATTGAACCTCTGTTCTTTCATGTTCCATATGTAAACTTGGTAAAAAGGAGTTGTTCTTTGCAGGCATTGATATGGGCAGCACAGCATGGGCATAAAAATGTAACTCTTAAGTTGCTTGAGCTGGGAGCTGACAAAAATCTACAGACTAAGGATGAGAAAACAGGAGCAGAGATAGCAAAAATCAATAAACATTCAGAGGTATTTAATTTCTCTTTGAAATGCAAATTCTGTGGTTTGCCTCAAAAATCTGATCATTAATTGTATAATTTTCTGTAGGACTGTTACTTTAATAACTAATTGTAGTAGTAGTTGAATACTTATGCTATTACATCTATATAGACTATTAAATCTATATAGGTCTGTTACACCAAACTTTTCACAGTGCTTTAAATGCTATATAGAAAAGTTTTGGGAACCTTCCCCGCCTCCCCCTTTGAATTTTTGTTTCAGATTTAGAATATAGAACAAGGGATTACTCATGTTAGAAATGTTGATATGAGAAGTAGGAAAAATATGTTGGTTTTTTCCTGTTTGCCAAAGTGTGTGAGAGAACATAGGTATCTAACTAATTTGCAGTGTATAGTTTCTAATTGAATTTGGAAGTGAAAAGGCTAAAGCTAAAAACGGGGGGGTTGATACTGGCTGTCTTCAAAATCCATTCTCAGGAGGGAAGGTGTAATATAATGCAAATTGATCAGATCATTGGAAGAGCAGCCACTAAATGTCAGTGTAGAGTGAGAGCTACTGAAGACAACGTACAATCCCCTAAAATAAATCTTTTCACTGCTGTTATCAGATGATGCACAGTGGATCAGTCAAACCAGATTTCTGTGTGTTTTGCTTTGAGTTGCTCTTGCCAATGATGTGGCTTTCTGCAGTGGCTCCTCAAAAATGTATAATTCATTCAAATGAATTTTAATTCACTTTACAGTTTCTTTTTCTTTCTTGGCTTTTTTGAGGGTTTGTTGGGTTTTTTTCTCTGTCAGACTCCAGAGCTAGGGATGAACAAAAATGGTAACTATGCACAAAGTTGTCAGTATGGGCTAGCAAGATCACTCTCTGAGGCTCAGTGATCTGTTAGCTCAGGTTACTGGAAGGGGCTACAAATGCATTCTGTCTTCAATAAATTACTTGTTCATCAGGCTATGGCCATATAATCTTATAACACAACTTTCTCTGACATGGAGGGACTACAGGCTCCTCACGCTTGAGAGATGCGTCTTGCCTCTTGACCTCGAACACTTAACTTTCACTCAATTACTGCAAAGTCTTGCAGATGATATTGAGATATTTTATGGTCAGGAGCTTCTTCCACCTCAGGGATCTGCTCTTCAGGCTGTTGACAACCCAAGAAGCTGTCATACTGACTGTCTGTAGAAACTGTATCTGCGAGGGGAGATATTTTTCTTACCTACTGTACTGAATTTGGCTGGGCTGGAATTACTTTTCTTTCCAGCAGCCTGTATGGTACTGTATTTTGGGTTTCTGACCAAAACAGTGTTGTTAGCACACCAGTATTTTAGCTATTGCTGAGTGCTGGGGAAGCATCAAAGCTTTCTCTGATTTTCATTCTTCTCTCTGCCTTCAGCCAGTAGGCTGGGAGGGAGCAAGAGGTTGGGAGGGGGCACAGCCAGGGTAGCTGACCCCAGCTGACCAAAGGGATGCTCCATACCAAATCATGTCATGCTCAGCAGTAAAAGCGTGAGGAAATTTTTTTCTAAAGTAGCCATTGCTTGGAGACCGGCTGGGCATTGGTCTGCTGGTGGCAGATGGTGAGTGATTACCTTTGCATCACTTAAGCTTTTGGGTGTTGTTTTTTTTCCCTTCACTTATTAATATGCATGTATCTCAACCCATGAATTTTGTCATACTTTTTACGCTTCTGATTCTCCCCCATCCTGCTGGGGGAAGATGAGCAAGCAACTGAGTAGGGGCTTATTTGTCAGCCAGGATCAACCCACCATTCATACGTGTATGTATGTGTGTGTGTATGTGTGGCTGTTCACCTGAATTTCAGGAAAGTGGCTTCACCATTCTTTTAGGCTTATTGAGGTTCTACTTGTTTTGCTGAATTTTTTGGTTAACTATCTCAGAACTCACACAGGGGCTATTCGTTTTCTGGATTCCATCACTGATGCATAGTGATGTCTGGCAGAAGGCTTGCTTCTATAATCTATAATCAATTGAAAGAATCTGTCAAATACAGTTAAATTAGATTGTCAGTTGTAAATTGCTAAATGTTGGGTCCATATATGCATTGAAAATTGAGATATTAAAATAGTTGTATGCCTCATGCTCTTATTATTGCCTTGAGTTTGTAGAACTCTTGTCTACAAACCACAAAAAATAGTATATTGGTGTATTGCTGCTTCTGTAGTGACAGATACTAACTTTTTTTGACTTAAGTTAGATGTGGTGTTTTGCTCTGTGTCAGTTCATTGTGGTGGAATTCAGAAATGCTTTGGATAAACTGTGGGCTTGGTCTTAACTGTTCATTGTAGTTTTATGCTTTAGAGAAGAAGTGCAGATATTTCATGTTCCTTGTAAGTAGTAATTTATGATAAAACTGTTTATCGTCTTACTCCTTTGTATTTCTTTATGCATTTTGAATTTGAATAATAATTCATTTGGGCTCTTCCAGATTTATAGTTTACTGTCTTTGGCTGCAAATCACTTGCATGGGAGATCCCATGGAACAATTAAGGAGGAGGCTATCTACAAATTAATGACAGCTGCCCCTGACCAAGGAATTGGGTAAATACAGTCATAGTGTAATTTTACCTTATAAGTATTCCTAAGAGATTGTATTTGTTTGTGTCAGTGATTAAATTATACTGATGTGTGTTGTTTGGAGTGCTACCAAGAGTACCCAGTAAGTATATTAATGTACTATTAATTTTTCAAGATTGCAGAGTTGCTTTGCATTACAAACAAAGAGCATGCTGTAGATCTTTCATTCCTCTCGTTTGGTGTAAAGTATTCTAGAGCCAGGATCCAATGTCACTTCATTTCAGCCCTTTTAAATGTGTATGCTCCCCTGTTCCATATTCCTTGTTGTTCCGAATTTGACATTAGATATTTTTTTTTATGCTTTCACTGTCTGCCTGTTTTCATCTTCATGCCACTAGGAAGAGCTCTGCCTTTTTCTTTTTTCCTGCATGTATGTGGGTCAAACGAAGCACACAGTTACATAGTTAAGCTCTAGAACTTTTTGCATAGTGTGCTTCTGGCCCTGAAGCTTGCAGGTGTCCCGTGGCTGAAATCAGCCCCTGCTTCAGCACCTTCAAAGGTCTCTCATATTGTTTCATCCCAGAACATGTTGGTTAACAAGTTCTCAACAAACTGGCCATATACTTCCTTGGGCTTGAACTGCATGGTCTTGAGAAGGCAAATTCCAGTGCCGATAGTCTGTTCTGGTTTGTCAGCTTGATTCTTTATGTCCCTGCTCAGCCAGGTCATTCTGAATTTGACATGCCCTAGTTTTGTATCATTGCTGCCGTCATTGACGGCAGTTCACACTGAGGTAGTCTCAGACAGAGTACTCAGTTCGGACAAAGCCTCATGAGGTTCTGTTGCTAGATGAATGTATATGCCAGATTTTCATTCTCTGCTGCTTCAACCACAATCATCTTAGAGATACTTCAGATTCGTAAAGGTGTTGTTCTGGCTATATCTCCTTGTCTGTGAACCATGTCTCCCATGGGATCTGTCTGCTCCTTGGGGATCATCTTTTGAGTCCCTGTGTACTTGACAGGAAGGTGACATTCTTTTAAATAGGTCAGTCTTCTGGTACTCTTCACAAAGACTTATACTCCTAGATAGAATATGTACCTAATGACCTCAGTGCTAGAACAGATTCTCCTTTTTTTAGCAGGTTTGGGTTCTTTAGGAAGTTCCGTAGGCTTTTTCTGGTAGAAGGAAATAAACTAACACTATGCAGCAGTTATCCATATAGATGTAGTGCTGTTGAAACCTGATGGTGGCTAGAGGACATTCTACCAGTGTTTGGTTAGTCTTGGTAAGTTTTTAAAGTCAGACACTGGAATCCTGAAGCCCACTAAAAATAGTTTGTGGCAGCCAGATGTCTATCTATGCAAATGTAATTCTGTATTAGGCAATGATTCGGCTTCCAGGATTTCACAGTGTGCCAGTAGTCTTTATCTAAACAATACTGTTTTTTTTCTGCCAGATGAGAAACTGATTTGTTTGTATGAACAGGCATTTCTGTCAAGCTCAAGGATTTTTGTATTAACAGTAGCTAGTTCTGATGTTTCATAACTTTGAGCATTTCTCATAATGAGTGGAACCCTTGGTTTCAGAAAAGTCCCCTGGAGTATACCAGATGTCTGGCTGTTAAATGCCTGTTCTTACAAATGCAGTTTATCCGTTTCAACACACACACACATACTTGCCCCCAGCAAGCTGGATTTTTTCATCTGGTGATAGTCAAGAGGTACACTGATGCCTGTGTTTATTCCATCATAGCTCCTTGAGCTGTTCTCTCAGTTGCTCCTCATGCCTCACCTGGTACTGGGTATCAGTTGTGCCCTGCCATGCAGGGTCAGTGAGTATAACTTGTCATTGATGTCATCATCATTTAGTCATCCTTATGTAGTGAGTGTACCTTCAGTCATTGCTGTCTGCCTAATTAGACAATTTTTCTGAGTCCAGAGCCCTGGACTATACAAGGAAATGCACATACATGTCAGGAATTTGCATCCTTCAGCTCCTGAATTAGGTCCTTTGCTGGTTCAGGGACTTGCAAGTTACTGTCCAGTTGCTGAATAGCTCTTTCCTTGATCCTGGGAAGAACGTCCTTTCCTTGCACCTTTAGCAGAACTGAAAGTCTTGAGTTACCCAGGGGCTTCCAGAATCTTTGCAAACTGGGCACTTTGAATGCCTAAATAAGAATATTTGATCACTGCAGGTCATTCACACACTCTTCTCTTGCCAGTTGAAGGGCATTGGCTGTTTGGATGTATGTGTGAATTGTTTACTTCACGGACTGTTGCTGTCTGTGTTGAGAGAGGGAGGAAGCATGCAGTGATTAACACAATTCTATACAACTTCATGGTAGGGATGATGCCTTTAAACACTATTAAAATTATTTTTAACTCTTCTATTTTTCCTGCTGACAGAAGGCACTCTCACTGAATTATTGACTTGAGACAGTGTGCAAGTTGCATAAACTCCTTTCATATGTGATTTAGGGTGTCCATCTCGTAAAAGGAGAAGTATGCTGAAATACTAGTAATGCAAGGTTCTCAATGTGCAGTCCTGAAATATTTTCTTACGTATTCAGAGCAATTTTCAGAGAGGTTTGGTTGGTTGGTTGTTTTGGATTTTGGTTTGGGGTTGGTTCAGGGTTTTTTTTTGGGGGGAAGGGGAAAAGAGGCCGGAGTTGGTGGTTTTTGTTTACCCCCTTTTTTTTTTTTTTTCATATATATGTAGATACACAAATTTTATAGGACCTTTTTTAAGTCTTTAATGTGAAAAGAGGGCAAACCTTGATTTCAGGGCCTACAATAAGACTGAGCAAACTATCAGTTAACTCAGTGTTTTAACACACACTGCTATAGTGACTGCAGTGGTCCTTTTAGCATTTCATCTGACTTGCTTTTGGGTTTAATTCTGTTCATTACAATTGTTCATCTGATTGTTGAAAGCTGTTCAGATATTTTCCTCTATATTTTTGTATCTTTTGGTAGGCAAGGAACCAAAATTGATAGTTACCTTTGCAAATAAGTGTTAAACTCTGAACCTACAGTGGGTTATGCCACTTCCTCAGTCTGCCTTCTGAACAGTAGTCCTCTGACAACTAATTTCTTACCAGTCTTTAATCATAGACATTTTAGTTTCCTGGTAAACGTGCTTTTTTGTTTAAATGGAACCAGAAGGGAAAGACTTGTGGGCTGAATCCATTTTATATGAATGGTATCTGATAAGAAGACATAATTATCTTCCTTAATCCCACTTCCAGATTTTTCAGGCTTCGGCAGCCCAACTTGAAGGTTCAGTTGGAACATTTTGATACTTAAAATAATATTTATCCATGAATAATTGAGCCCTTCAGGCTCAATTCAACTCATTAGACAGAAAAGCCATTTCTAAAATTTTGATAGATTAAAAAATAGGTTAAATTGTACTCCATGGTGCTTATGAGATACTACTGTCATCAGTAGGCCTGTGCAACATTAGGTTGCTCCCCAGTTCTCTGCCTGGGGAGCTTTTCTGGAGTATTTTGTTCTAGTGGTCTTCTATTAACTTCCACTGCTTTCATCTCATATCCCATTTGTTCTATTTTCAGTTCCTACCCAACTTTCAGTGACACAGAAGTGTTTTTACAAGGTCTTGGTCTAGAACACATAATAGGATTATTCAGGGTAAGTTTGTGGTTTATCTGGTATCTGTTAAGAAATCCATGAAAGCAGAATGTACCTACAGCATAAAAAACAAAGTTCTGTCACTATTAGTATCTTAATTCAAGTAAATTTATTAAACAGAAGTTTAGCTAAAAAATGTTAAATTGAACTTCAGTGGACAGGATTGGATTGCTTAATTTTAATTATGTGCATTAGTCATGTGCATTATGTGATGTTTCTAAACTAGAATAATGCTGTTGTGTAGCTGGTTTTATTTCTGAAAACTGAAGTAAAACATAAGTGAAAACTGTTTTCTTCTGAAATTCTTTTTGATGAAAAAAGAAAACCCTTTGTTTTATACAGGAAAGAGATACAACTTTGACACAACTTCTGATCATGCAAAAAGATGAGTTAATACGGGTCAGTTTACTACTTTAGAACTTCATTTAGTTTTCTCCTCTTTCTTTTTTAACATCTTATCTTTATAAATGTCTGAACTTGTAAGAATTCTGTTTTCAGAATCTTCTGCAACTTCTTGAGTTTTAATGTGAATATAGACAGACCTTTTCTAAATCCCACATATTAGCCTTGATTTCTGACTTAAATTCTTGTATCTTCTTTGCCTACATCTGACTACAAAGTGAAAGTCTGCAGTATTTGGAAGTCCTCAGTATTTCTTTGCTGCAATGATGTGGAAGTTGGGTTGAGCAGGAAGTTGTTCCATTTTAAAATTCAGTTGTTACTATTTTCGGTATTTGTTTTCCCATTTGGTATCAGTTAAAATCACTTGGTATTTCACTGTTACTGAGGACTAAGTGACACATTATTACAGGATTTCGGTTTCTGGTGGAAATAGGGTGGTTGCTTTTCCTTAGTCTTTGCTGGAATTATTCCTGTGGGGAATGAAAGACTTCCTGTGTTTACAGGAGGATGCCATAATAAAATCCAACTGTAGGAGTCTCCTTGGGATAGCGCAAATACTTCAGGCCACAGGATTCTTCTGAGCACACTGTACCAGGTCTGACATACCAAAGATGTCTCACTGAAATAACTGACTCAAGCCTGCTACTGATGCTAGTTGTCTCCTCCATGTCAGCTTTACTCGCCCTGTTCTGGTACCAAGGAAGCATGTGTTCCAGCAGCTGGAACCAGCATTAGCATACAGATGTTAATTATTACTTCAGAGTTGGTGTCACAGGGATGTTTTGCATGAAGTTTTGTCTTGTAACTGAGTAAGGTTTAAGTGTTTTCCCAGAGCTCAGAAATAATTCTGTATCTCAGCAGGTGCATGTACAGGGAGCTTTGTCAGTGAAGAAATTATTTAAGAGTTCATTTAGACCTAGGTATTACAAGGCATGTCAACATGTTCTGATGTTACTGCTTTTCTGAAGCCTCAGGATCATGCCAAATGGACAACCACTGGGTATGGGCTTTCTATGGACCCTAAAGCCCACACTGACAGGAATTTTGCTCTTAAAGGAGATTTTTGTAGCTTTCTTCTTACCACTGTGAGCTGCTGTGTTTGTCATGCTTGCATTACACTGCAAATCTGGCTGCGTATGTGTTCATATTGATCACCTGGTTTGATGTAATCATTACTTAGTTTTGTCCAGAGACGCTGGGGGAAGGAAAGAATTGTGGACTTTAGTGAAAGGCTAATCCTTATGGTTCCTTCATCAAAGAAGGATCTGTAGTTTCACATGAACTGATAACCTCCATTTCAGTGTTTCAGCATGTTTCAGAGACCCTCTTATAAAGAGGGATTTTTTTTGATAACTGAAATAAATGCCTGGATCAGCTCCTCTTCCACAGAAAAATTGTATCTATAGGAACAGAATTGTTTTGCCTCTGAACTGTGTAACAGCAGGAAACACTTCTGGAAAATAAGCCATGCTTTGTGCATGGATGTAAATTAATTAGTGAGTCTTCAGTTGGGAGTTTAAAAAATGACATAATACTCCTGCCTTATTAGCACTTCATAAGTTACCCTAAATTCTTGATGCAATTTAGTTACAGAGCTCTACTAACAGTTTCTCCCCACGCTGCTGATAGAACAAATTTAATCTGTTTCCTCCTAACTCCAGAGTTGAAAGTTTTTAGTGTGATGGCAGATCTTCAACTAACAGCCAGCTATTTTAAAGAGCCTGGATCTTATTACTACAAAGATTAATGATGACCTCTGATGGATGCCTCTGAACCAAGCTGCTTTGTATCCAGAGAATGGGGAGAAATCCTGTCACTAACATGATACACTTTCCTCCATCAAACAATATCAGAAAGATACTTTCTCTGTAAATATCTTTATCTGTATTCTGCACAGAGCCTAAACAATGACTCTTCAAAGCTGAAATCCTCGCATTCCTTAAGCTTATAAACTGTTCCATACTGAAACAAGTCTGTTCAATATACTGGAACATGTCTATTCAACATTTGAAGGTTTTTGTCTGATTCTGTGCTGCTCGTTACCCTTGGATATTTTTTTGTCTGGATTTTTTGGTGGGGGGGGTTTGGAATACTTTCTGAGCATTTGTCTCAAAAGATAGCAACAGAAGTAATTTTACTTCTGGATGCATTTAGAGTATGAAGGTTCTTTTCTTACATGCTTATTAGTTTAAAATAAGAGAAATTGGCATCTTATTCTGGATTTGAGAATGCATAATGACAAGTTAACCCATCAAAATTCAAAATATAACCCAGACATTTAACTTCTTTGTTAGAGAATTGTCAGGTCTGTGTGCTTTTATGTTACAGTTCCAGGATTCTTCTTTCTCTGCCCCTCCCTCCCTGCAAAAACATTTAATATTTGGCAGAAGAATAAGAATAGCTTATTTAAAATAGTGGCCACTTGGGCAAGTTGGCAGTAATGTAAGAGTTTATGCATAACTTCTGGTTTATCTGAGAAACATGTCATCTTTCATTTCCATCTAAAGAGTAACAGGAAAGTCATGTTGATGCTGAAACTGGAGTTTGGAGCATGGATTTTCAGGGGCTGTTTTTTATTTCAGTATTTATTTAAGTAAAGAGTAACATAGACGTTAGAGTTGGTAGGCCTAGCATTATTTCACAGGTGTAAGCAAGTTCTTGTACACCACTTGCACATTCTTAAATGTATGGCCACTTGACAATAATATTTGTGTTATTTGGACTGCAGAGTAACTGAACTAACACCAACTTACAGTCTTGCTAATCTATAAGGAAGAAGGGCTTCTTGCACCACAGTTGTTCCATGCATTCATCATTGCATGAGTAGCCAGGTTCTCTGTAACCCCTGTGTTCAGCGGTGGTTGTCTAGAAAGGTAAAAATTTTCTGCTTTGGGAAACAGTGTGGACTAGTCTATATGTCTACTGTTCTGCACCTAGTACCTTCAAATTCAGAATTACTGTGGTGGAGGTGGAAAACTTTATCTATGATGACTTTTATCACATTCTTTACTTCTGAAGCCCAATATCTTCAAGATGTGGTGGTACTCGGTCACTGATCCATTTGCAGAAGGATTGAATTGTTTTATATATAGGGAGACAAAGTACAGTGTCTTCCTGATAGAAAACTATATCCTTATTTGCTTGCTGTAGGAGTGAGAAGACGGAGTCAAAAGCAAACCCAGTCTTTGCAATAGTTCCTGCTTTAAGCAAAATAGTTTTTTAATATTCAAGAATAACAACCAGCTTACTCTTGGGAGAGCTCATTTGATTTGTTGATTATAATTAAAAGTAAACTTGCTGCTCTTGTATAAATTGGCTTACTTCTGCATTATGAAATGACTGCTGCAATGCTTTGTAAGCATTAAGAAAGCATGAGTTTATACCAGATAGGGCTCAACAAGGCCAACCTGAGTACTAATAAATAGAGCAGACTTGCAGCTCAACATAAGCAAAGTTAGTTATTTCTAGGAAACACAGATCTTTCTCTCTTAAGGCTGCTAGTGATAGTTACCCTAGGGAGTCGAGTATAATGTATTCAGGTACCTGTGGCAACTATTGGAAACTGTAAAGTTCTTGTCACCTGTAGATAAACTCCCAGTTAATCTGGTTGGGATTTTACATTACTGAAGAACTTACTTGTCCGTAGACTTGTAACAGTAGGCTTATGACATGGTTTTGAAATGTAACTATGTGCTCACAAGTATGTCGTCTAGCATGTTACCTGTGAATTCTGAGCACCTGGTGGGGAACCTAGGGGACTGTTTTATGGAGCCACAATGAACACTAAACATCAGAAATAATAGTCTCACATGAAGCAAGCATTTCTCTAAGTAACTTCTCCTCCCTAGGATTGCTGCTCGGCACCATCTGAGGAAGTGAGACTGCCTGGTGTTTGATGTCTGTTGTCAGCTGCATGTCCAAAGTTCTTTCTGCAATCATTAAAAAAATCTGGGAGACTACAAACACATTTTACAGATTTCTGAGGCTACAGCAGGGAGCTTCAGGTCCTCAGAACATAAGAGAGAGTCACATATGTTCTAGCTTTGAAGGCTGCAGGATCCTTGTGGTCCTAAATTCCAGAATGCTCCATTCCTGCTTCATCCAGGTACTTGGCTGGAGAGTTAGGAACAAAGTCATACTTGGACCTGGCATTATGTGTTTTTTCACTTGTGTGGAGAAGCATCCTTAGGGCTGTCAACATTAGAAGTCCTGTGTTGCACAGCAGCCTTTCAGATGAGCAAGGAAAAATATTGAGTGTGCCACAGGAACGCTTCTGTTTTAACAAGTGAGCAACTTTTTTTGTTTTGTGTTCTACAAAAAAATTCTTAGCCTAGGATTTAAATATGAGTTAATATGTAATCTGAGATAGTTCATTGATAACACAGCTGACGAAGTTTTCTGTCCCAAGTATTACTTGGAGGATCTCAGTTACATGGTATATGTCTTCTGAAGAAAATTTTTCTTTTCTTCAGCTAAAAGAGACAGAAAGCCTTGAACACTTCAGAACTCTTCTGTTGTTGTTTGCAGCATTAGCCAAGAGTACAGAAGATGAACTGATTTGAGCTTCGGGACTGTATAAACTGATGTCAGGTAGTAGTTAGGCTTGGTCTTATTTTGAGGTCATAAATTTATTTTGAGTTTATAAGTATGCTGTCCTTCAGATACATAAAAAGGCTTCTTTTACAGGCTGTTTCATGGTAGAAACATCTGGCTTGAATGTCTTTTTAACAGATTGTGTTCTCTCTGCTATTTTCTGATTGTCTGCGGCTTTAGAGATAGCACCAACTAGATTTCTGTAACGTAACTTATTTTTTAAATGACATTCTGTAAGAAAATTAGGTTTTACAAAGAGCTATCATATCTTCTGAGACCGGTTTAACTGAAAGAACTGCACACCCAAAAGCTTGGAAAAGCCCTTCTGAAAATCTGCCCTCTCTCTGTAAAATTCTGCCTTTGCCAATTTATAGTTTCCATTCTTTCATCTGAGTTAATGCTGTATTACTGTCATGGTGATTGGTTATTTTGCTGTAAGAAATGACCGAGATGATTCTGAAATAGATGAGCCTAACATCCTAACACTGAGGTACTCACAAAAACTGCATTTTTTTTTTTTTTCCCCTTTAATAAACCTTAAACTATCTGAGCATCCTGTACAATTTCAGTTTGGCTTTTCCTCGGGTCTTATAATTTTGTTTTGCATCATTGAATAGTTTCTGTGGTTTTATTTTATTTTGGCAGTTGCATGCACTGTAGTTGCTTGCAGTAACTTAAAAGCAACTTCTTTGACTCTTTAATAATTAGAAGCTTGCACAATAAATGGTACTGTCCTGTTATATCAAGTAAGTATTGAAAGTAAATTATATTTGGAATTACTCTTTAAATTTAGATTGGCCTTACAAATCCTGAAGATCAGCAGAAACTCCTAGATGCCATTAACAAGCTAAAAGTGGAAGAAACAAGAATCGGAGATGTCTCTGAAGTGATGAAGCTGGAATTGAGGTATTAACTGTATATCTAGGGAAATGGAAGTGAAATACGAACTATTTAAGACAACTGCATTGTTTTCTGTAGCTCAGAGGTAAATTTCTCTCACACCTTATCCCATGCATAACACTCATGAGAGTATACCAGTTAGTGGATTACAAGGGCTGGTGGTAGTTGTGTTTTGTACAAAGAAAGTTGGAAGCATAGGTTCTTGATGTAGGAATCTGACTATGTTGCTGTTATGTGACATTACTTTGGCCATCTTTTTGAGTAATGAGTTTGTTCTTTATACCTCAAAGTTTCACAGCCTTGCTGTGCAGGGTTTTCACTACTCATATCATAATTTCTGAAAGTGGCTTCTTGGGCTGCAGTATTAAATCATGCTTTATTTTCTCTGATATGCTTCAGTGAGCCAATATGGTTTTATTTCTCTGTGGAAATGGGTTTTGCCATCCTTGCTGCCCCATGCTTCAAGAGCAGCATGGAGCCTTATAAACCCCACGTGATGTGGATTGTACAGGCACTCTCAGTCTTGAAGTCAAATTTGTCTGATTGTAAGGTGCAATAAAAAGATGTGTGGGAGGGAGAGATGCATATATGATTTCTGCATGGGGCTTTAATTTTCAACTGATAGATTTAAATTACATGTCTACATGTCTACTACATGTCTACCTTAATAAATGGGACTGCTGTATTCAGGGGTTTTTCCTTGTTGTTCTTTTCCACTGGACACAGTTTTAACTAACTTCTAAAAGACCTATTTTTTTTTAATTACAAATTAAGAACTTTGTAAGATGTTTTCCGTATCATATATTATATGTATCAGTAGGAATAGGTTCATAAGGAAACTGTTCTGTAAGAAAGCATTACTCCTTCAAACTTCCATTCCAACTTGATATTTTTCCCATTACAGGTTTTTTCTTACAGCCTTAAGCATCAGCTCTGCAATACCTCTCATACTTCCAGTATTGTCTTGTGCAGTCCCATCAAAGTCAGACCTACCTGAGCTGAGAGGAACATCCCTCAGCTTATTAAACTTCATCAGTCCCTTAAGCACTGTTAGAGCACTCTCCACGTCCAGTACAAAAAGAAGAATGAAGGTTATAATAAAGGCAAAGGTGTCTTAAGATTTCTTAAACCCCTTTTCCTCTATTTGTGTAAATATTATTTTTTTTCCAGAGACCTAGACTTGAATTTAGATTCTGTACTCATATCTTTCCTCTTTTTACTTCCCAAACCTACAAAAGAATAGCTCCTGAAAATAGGATTAGTTTGCAGTTTTAATTTGCAAATGTTTTAGAAATGGACCAGGGCATAAGGCTGTGGCTTGCCTTTCCAAGGCTTTAGTCAATTGAACTGTGATTGTTTAACCTAGAGAAGACTGTTTTAGGGATGCTGCTCCTTTGTTGTACTGTAGCTGCACCAGTAGTAAGTTAGGTTCTCTGTGCTTGTTCCTTCCCAGTTTCAGCCATCATTTGTGTAGCATTGTGTTGCCTTATTTGCAGTGGCCTGCCTAGAGTGGTACTGGGGGGGTGGGGGGAGAAACTGCCTTGCATCCAATCTACTGATAAAATAACTTTCTATGTCTAGAAAAGTCAGGGTTCAGTTCCTCCTTAAAGTGTGCATCTCCCTGTCGACTAGTGATCTGACAGCTGTGCTGCTACTTTCCTAGCTGTTTCTTGACTCTCCAAAACAAATAATACAGCTCTCTTTATCATTTGGCTACTATAAAGCTAGACTCTGTTAGTTATGTTGTTCACTGGACCAAAGAATATGCTTGGGTTCATTCTGTACACATCACTGTATTTTGGAGGCAGCTGAATCCGCTATGTATTAGCAGTCACGTCATGACGTGTTCCTGCCATAGCGTTGTCTTTTGTGCCTTGGTTACATAAGTCTATCTGGTATGCACTTATTCTTACATGCACTGATTGCTCCTGATTCTGGTACTGTCCCTGTATTTATATCCATTTCTGTGTTTACACAAAGGAGGATTTTCAGGCTGCTTGAGGTACATTTTGCAGTATGATGCCAAGTTTGAGCTGCGGGATGTGGGAGGACATGCAAGGCACTTGGAGAAGATATTGAAAGACTGAGATGGGCTGGGAGAGCAGAGTGTTCATCTCCTGATACAGGACCTTGGTGCTGCTTCTAGTCTGTGAGGAGATAGCATTTGATGAATGGAACACTTGATGGATAAGGAATTGGCTTGATGATGGCACTCAGAGTTATGGTCAGTGGCTCAATGTCAAAGTGGAGACCAGTGATGAGTGGTGTTCCTCAGAGGTCAGTATAGGGACCAGTGCTTTATAACATCTTTGTTGGTGACATACAAGAAGTTAGCAGTTAGTTCACTGTACATGCGGCCAAATGCAATCAAAAACCCACGTGATGCCCAGTACAGTCTTGTATACCATTTACATATCTAATTCGTGGCAGAGTATGGGTTTAGATCATACATAGTTCTCAAAACCAGAAAATAATTGATTGAAGATTGAAGTACACATTATATGACAGCATTTCAGTTATGGCAAGCACTGCATAGTTTTCTAGAAAATGGCTTGACATGTATTTTAGGAATCTGACCTTGAGACTAAAATCATAGGCTATGTTTACATGCTATTATATAAAGATTTTACTTCCCACTTGCTCAAAGTCATTCTGTGAGAAGGCAGATCAGTCATTAAGTCATAGAAAAACTAACATAGTAGAAAATGTTGAACTGATTGATTATAAACTCACAGAGTGTCTAGTGCTGTTTAGCCACTGGTGTTTTGACAGCCATTAATTCTTTTCAAAAGTGGGTTTTTTTTGAAAACTTTATTTCCATTTACAAATATAAGAACATGTCACTGCAACAGATACAACATTTCTATGAAATAGGTTTCTAAGAACTATTATTGATATAATAAAGACATATGAGAAGTATAAATGGTTTTCTTTTCCCTTTTTTTTTTTTTTTCGCCTCCCCATGTCATGGCCATGACAACTTTATTTTTGCTGCGAATCCTTCCAGAATTCCTAACAATAATTTCCTTTGTGACAAAACACAGAAGTTGCCACAACTGATCCTAGCCAGCTAAAAAAATTATGCCTTTAAATTGAAGGAAATTTTCACAGGCATGGCTTGACTATAGTAACATGGGAGAAACTTTCAGACTGTCTCCAGATGTGATTATTTCTTGTGTTTGGCTTTACCATAAATACTCAAGTTCAGTTATATTGTTCTGAAATAAATAATAATTTATTTTATAAAAACAAGCAAATAGGCTTCCTTACTTCACCATCTTCATAAAAACCATGGACAGTCTCGGTTTTCAATCTCCAGCACTCCTACTGATGCTTCTGTTTATTTCTGGTTTAAGGGTTGAAGTCTTAAATGTTCAGCAGTGTTGCAAATCACAGATGTCCTGAGCAGTGGTGGAAACTTTGCTCACTAATGGTCTTGTGCCAAAGTTGAAGGAAAACACTCTCTGGGCTAAATTCAGTCTCTTGTTTAGATACTTGCACCACATTGGCAAGTAGCTGTTTAGCTGTTTGGGAAATGTAATGTATGCCTTTTTGCAATCAGAAGCAGCAGTAAGGTGGTATATGTTGCATTTAGGTTCGATTGCTCTAGGGAAAAGAGGAATGGTAGGGTCTGAATTAATTTATTCAGATTTTTCCATAAAGATAACAGGAAGTTCTGCTATAGGAACTTAAAGCCCTGCTTGTTATTCACCTGGGTGGCTCATACATGGTGGAAACTTCTCTCCTGGAGATACAGGCACTTCTCAGGATTTGAGAGCTCACTATAAAAACAATTGGCTGATCTTCTTCCTTGTCCTCTTTTCCTCTGCCCAGTCAATGGCAACAACTTTCTGGCCAGTACCATGACAGATAAATAACATTCTTTGAGGCTTCCAGTAAAATAAATGGAGTCAGTGTCATGTGGGAGCTCCAGAAACTTAGCAGTGAAATTAGTCTGTTAATTTTTTCTATCATTTTCTCCACTCTTCGGAGATACTGGTAAAACTAATTTTCAGGGTTGTCTTCCTGCTTGTATAAATTGTCTTTGAAGTAGATAACATCAGAGATTTTAGGCCTTGAGGAATATATTTCCAGAATGAAAGGCCAGGTTAGTGTTACTGGATTCTTTTTTTCTTCCACCGTGCTGGAGACTAATGGTCATTTCAGTCCTCACTCCAAACTGCAAACCAGACTTTTCTCCCACCATCTGCATCAAAAATGTGAGCTGCAAGTCAGAAATATTGATATGTCCCCATAAAATTGAGTATAAATTCTCTGTTTCTGGTGTTGCAGGACTGTGATCTGTATGCACACATGCACATGAACAGTGTTGCTGGTGTTGTGCATCACATGTTATAAAATTACTTGTGCAGCAGCTAATGAAACATTTTTGTTGACAGTACAGGACTGATGAAAGATAGAAGTGGAGGTTAATAGAATATTTCTGATAAGCTTTGGGGTGACACTTTTTTGGTTTTCAGTACATCTTATGAGGTGAATATTTCAGATAACATAATGATTTTTTTGTCCTTCCAAAAGAGTGGAGAGGTGGGGATGTGGGGAAGGATGAGGGGACACAGCGCACCACACCACACACAGAACCACCCCAAAACCTGCTAAGACTTTAGATGTAGTGTTATACTACCCTATATTAAAATACAGGGCCACAGGATTAATATTTTTAGGCAATGAAATTGCATGTCTAACCAGCCAGTGTTGGAAATGCATAGATAACACTTAGCTTGCAAAAAGTTACAGCCTTTAACAGATAACAGAATATCATTTTATTTTTGTAGTGGAGATGAATTCCTCAAGTTTTTGAAGAAGTTGAATGAGAAGTGCATTAAGCTGACCATTCCTGTGCAGACCGTGAATAAGCGTTTTCTCAATCGCTCCCAAAAGGTATTCAACCAAATTAAAAAAAAAAAAGATTGATTTAGAGTACATTATTCTAGAATATTATTCTACCTTGTAAAGTGAAAAATATGAACAGACACCAGCCAGCTTGATTATTATAAAGCTAGATAGAGCTGTCCAGTGTTCTTTCTCTAAAGGTCACCTTTTTTTAAAGAATTGATTTCAAAAAGTTAAGCTACCCAAAGAAAGAAGATAGAGCTGTTTCTTCATGTTTCTGCTGATAAGGGAGTTAGGGTGACAAAAGGTTTGCACAAAGGCTGTTTGTAGGAATAATGTTGTGCAGAAATTGTACAATGAAAACCCAGTGTAAATGCAGTTACAAACTTTTTCTGGCACTTTTATGATACGTTGACTAAGGAATATTAAGTTACAATCTACAGTAATTCTGGCAAATAACTATAGTTATTAATAGATGGTGCTGCAGTGGACACCAACTGCAAATTGTATTGAAGTCTGCAAAGACTTGGTTTGCACTGTTGAAAAGCTGGGAGAAGAAGTTGCCAAACTGCAGGACCTGATGGAGAAGGTGGGTATGGGCAGGTGAGGCTTTGAAATACCATGTACAAGTTTCTCCTTGCAACTTCAAATGAGACATCCATCAGTGAAGTGTACCTTTGTTGTCCCAGAAGTGGTATCATTACTTGCTGTGCAGAACACCAGTGTACACACGGAATTGAGGTATTTTCTTGTCAGCTATTTTAGCTATTTTGCAAAATAGGGTGCTAGGTGGAAGCCTCACTGTACATTGTCTTGGTCTGCCACAGGCTCTTTAGCAGTAGCTTACACTTTGTATCCACCTCTCCCCACCTATACCTTCCCATGGACAGAAGGAGAAATAATCTGGAATATTCCACAGCAGTGTGGAATAGGAAGGCACAGTCAATCTTTTTCTTTCTACCACAGGAAAGAATTAAGTGGACTGTATCCCTGTGCTCTTGGACAACCACTGTGGCATAAAGGCCACTCTGAATACTTACACTCTTACTTCTTAATTAAGGAATCTTTTGTTTGGAATTATTGACTCACAGAGAATTTACTAAATTTTTATGGATTGAATGGGAAGCATCCCAGATAACTCTGCCAAGTGACAAAAGAAGAGGGTGGGAGAGGTCAAGGCTAGATGTTAGCACCACATCAGTCATTCTCAAACCAACACAATGACACGCTCTTGTCAGAAGGGGTCATTTTAAGTAATAGGCTAGTAAAAGGAATGGCTGCTGGGATAGAGTAAATGGAGCATCAGTGTCAGAAAGGAATCTGTTGCTGAACAAAGCCATGTGGAACTCAGATCTTGGGTATAATGCTACTAATGGAGTTTCCTGTAGTTTAAGTAAATTTGATATAATAGCCTTCTCCCAATAAATCACTTAACACTAAATATATTTAAGAGGTAGATAGAGGCTGTGACAAAGAAGTTTTTTGCTGTTTGTGTTCTCCTTTTGAATATGCAGAAATCAATTGTATGTATATATTTGCCTCCTGTATGTACAGGCTAGTTACAAGGGCTGGAGGGGATCTGAGTTAGGTGCCACTTGACTTCGCTGTCTTCTGTACTTAAGGTTTTATAACTGTCAAGATGAAGCACAGTGTCTCTGTTCCCAGTGTTAAACAGAGGTGTTAAACAGCCTTCTGAGTACTTCAAAAATGTAATTCTTGTTCTATTAAAATACTGTAATGTTTTATGAATTTCACTGGTGTAGACTTTAACACAAAATACTTTTGTGCTGCTTAATTTATGATGGGGCACTCTGAGTAGAGCGCTAAAACATTTATTATGAAAAGTGCCAGTTTAAGTGAAACAGTTAAACCTTTTAGATAATAAATTTGTATAAGTTCCCTAAAAATCTTCAATACTGTTTGCTAAGCTTAGTCATTATGTGACTTTGCCAGCAGTACATGTCTGTAACATGCAGTATTTGAAAACACAATAAATGAGATGACCTTCCAAGCATTATAAACTAAGGTAGGGTAACAGAACCTGACCCTGCTGCATTTAATGACAATACTTCACTCATCTTCAGCGTATATTCAAACAGGCACTTTCCACTCTCCATTTAATTTCAAGGAAGTCTAACCTGTTGCTTATTTAACTTGCTTTATTTTTTTTTAATGAGTTGGTTTAGTAATTAAATAGCAGAAGTTCTGGTTAAAATATTTGATGATTGGAGTTCAAATGTTTTGTTACTAGGTTTTTGTAACATCTGTTAGCAGTGTGTTTACTCCTGAGGAATTAGAGTAAATTAACAGTTTTGTTTTCTAATACATATTACATAATGATTGAGTATTGGATAAGATAGAGGTTTGCACACATTTATTTCAGTTGAAGCAGGGCAGAAACAGAAAGAAACAGTATCTGCATGCAGATTCGTAGGACTGGGTACCTTAGCACATACTTGAGAAGCTTTCACCCTAACTTTTTTTTTCTTTGTTTCACTTTCTACTTTAACATCTGCCTCAGCATGAACAGAGGAATGACCCCAGAGAAGTGAAACTTCCAGAAAAAGCACCCACATTGGAAAAAAGATTAGTAAAAATGGGAGCCAAAACATTGCTTGGATTTGGTTTTTTCTTCTTTATAACCAAGGTAGTGGTAAAGAAAACATTACTTTAGGCTTATTCTTGTGAATACTTTTGGAAAATGCGTTCACATTGCAGTTCTGTTCGGTATATGGAGCTAAGCTGAAGTCAGGAGAAAATTTGTGTAGCTTCTCACCATACCCATAGTATATGCATCCAGTAAGTGCTTTGATCCAGAAATAAAGTTAATAAAAATCAAAACTGCTGCTTAAATGAGTTTTAGGGGGTTATTTTAGAAATTACTTTTGGTATAGACTGTAAGTTTGAAATTCTCAAAGCCACTTTTCTGTTTGGGCATAAAGCTGCCATTGCTTACTAATTACTAGTTCCATTTTTACCTTTAGCTGTTGTTTAGAGGTGAACATAAGCAAATAATTTTGATTATATCATATGTTTGTATTTAAAATTGCAATGCACATGTGTTTTGGGGTTGAGAGGGAGGGTTTAGAATACTTTATCTCATGCAGTTCTGTGTTGATAAAGACCTCTTCTTTTGCAGTTTTTCATATGAATCTATCATAGGAAAAACTTGCTGGTGAGGTGTACTTGTCTTCCCTTTGTCACAGTCACAGGACTGTGGAGGTACTGTTACATGTTGCCTGAAAAGTCATTTTCCACTGAACTGGGATACTCAAATTATGCCTGAAATCTGTTTCCTTGGGGATATTTACTACCATTAAGAGTTTCATCACATCTATTAGAAGGATTATAGCAGTCCTTTGCTGTAAGAATGCAAGCAATTTAGAAGGCATAGCAGCGTGTTTTTTTCCTGGTCTGGTCTTTCCTGAACCCAGGACACAATGACAACAGCTTCATGCTTAGAGTAATTTTTTCTTAATATTCTCTGCACTTAAAAAGGTGTTTGTAATTCCACAGTGAAACATTAATATCTGGTTTTCATCTGGTTACCAAACCAGCTATGTTGGGGAAAAAAGGGAATTGGCATAAGTTAATTCAACTCAGTTACGGTTTTGCAGACTTCAGTAAACATCTGTAAAAATGCTGAATGTTTCTGAAGAGTCATTCTTCTGTCAAAATAAAAGGAGTCTAAAGAAGATGGGTGTGTCACGCTTTGGCTCTCTGTTTTTCAGGGGTGTGTGGAGTCTTAATCTTTGATGTTCCCTTCAGAGACTAGTAAGGAGAAGATAAAAACTTGAGTGCTACTCCAGTTGCTGTCACAGTTGTTCTCTGCTTTTTGTTTTAGAAAGCTACATTGGGTGTTGGTGTGTTTCCTTGTTACTGCAGTTCTACCTCCTTTCCTCACAGGTTTCTCCTTCAATGCAGGGAACATCCTATAGAGTGATGAGGCCAGAGGCAAATACAACACAGATTGGGTTGTTTCCCATTCTGTTCCCAACATTGGGTCAGAGGGGACAAGCTGTATTTCCCACTACCACCATCTACCAGCAGAAGCGGAGAAGTGCACAAACTATCAGCTTGCTGACTTGAACCAAGAAAGTATAGTAAAGGAAATGTTTAAATAGTTCTCTGTTTCTTCATATTACCTTATAATTAATCCTGAAGTAACAAGACACATATCACAAAGGGAAGAATCCATGGTATTAAGAAACGCTGTTAAGTGCAGTTTCAACTGCACATGGGGTTCACATGGAATACACATGGAATCTTTCGTGTACCCAGCAGTCCTCTGATTAGCTCAAAATGCAGTTCAGATGCAGTTGCTCAGTGATGGGATGGCTCACAGGTACTACTAGAACTTTGACAGCTAACATCTTTGGGGCTTTTTTCTAGTAGGTGGAGGCATTGGGCATTTCTGGGGTGAAGGGGGGGGGAGAGTAGGCAGACATTTTGCTCAGACTGTGTTTCCAAATGTACTTACACTTCAGTTAAGTGGAATTATTTCAACCACTAACAAGATTTCTGTGATACCGCCCTTGAAAAGATTTTGTTACTTAGCTTTACTATTCCTTACTTCTCCACTTCAGTGAGAATTTGCATTAATGAAGCTATGAAGCCACTTCAAAGGACACTGAACCATAGTTTCTGTTTCAAGACATGCATTTTCTTTCACTAGTAGATCTTGCCATTTGAGACAGCAAAAATCCAAATTCTTTTTCCCATCAATTTGAAGAAAAGATCCCCACATATGGATGCCTTTTAGCTAACCTTGGAGGTTAGCTTGTATTTTATGGATCACCTATTTCAGATGCTTATAATCGTGATTGTGAACATTCATGTGAACAGCATTTGGGTTAAACATGGGCTTTCTGCCAGCGGCATTTTTAGCATGGTGCACTGTTCAGGAATAGTGTTCAAAATGGCATAAACTACACATGAACAGCAAGCGTCTTGGAGAAGAGTCAAATAATAAACAAAGGTTATTTTAACCTACATATAAAAAAAGTTGTATTTTCCTCTTCAGCTTCCAAACTTGGGCTTATGCAGTGAATTTCAAGGTCCTTTATTCACTTTCATGTTGTTCCAGTGCCTCTTTCAAATTCTCTGTTTGAGAAGGTATCCCAGTACGGTTGTGAAGAAAAGGCAGGAAGAAAGAGATTCCTTCAACATCTGGCCCCTGAGCTGTGCTCTCACAGTTCTCACCCCCAGGAGCACCCGGTAAGGGAGCCTTCAGATGAGAATGTCCCTGCTGAGAGGCCTCCCTCTGTAAGTCATCAAATTAAAGTCATTATCCCAGAACAGTAAGAACACAATGATTTGCATATCTATGAGGGAATTCGAGGAGAATGCTAAAGAGCTTTGCATGCATTAAGCAGGTAAGCTCTGCAGCCCTGTGAGGTTTTGTTCTCCTCTGACAGTAGTGCAAATTGAGATGCAATTGAGTGGACTGGACCTGGGGCCAGAGCCTGCAGATACATTGTTGTTTAAAGATGCAGCGAGGTTCCTACTTGCCGTACCATTGGATACCTAACTTCTCTTGATTACAGATGAATATTCATGCAATGGCCTTTTCTGAATCCTTAGACTTACATAAAATAAGGGCCTTGGGTGATCCTAGGATCTGTGGAGATCTGAAAGACCTTAAAGAATTTTCATTTCTAATTTGTCCTGTCCAAGATAAAACTGCAGGTTGTGTGTGTTGGGTCTCTCTTCCTGCACTTTGGAATTCACGTCACTCTTTAAATTTGACTTGTGAAGTACCTGGCTTGTTATAAGGCATTGCCCAGTTCTTCCTGTGGGGTACCAATTGCAAACAGCAGATGGCAATTTGGGCTGTGTGCATTCTCAAATTGAGAAAGAGTGAGCATTGTTATTATGTTCTCCAGTGACTTAGAGAAGTGCTGTGTTTGTTTTTTTCTTCTTCTGCTTCATTCTACTGCTTGTCAGGAGTGAAGCTTGAGCTGTGCAGCTCATTCTTTTTCATCTTGCCATCTTTGAAGCCCTTCAGGTGTTAACCCAAAGCTGTAAGTTACTTGTAAATGTGAGTAGGTGTTTGCTTGCATTTGCCTTCTCTGTTCCAGCAGTTCTGCAAATGTTATGGGGCATCTTTAGCAAATAAAGCTGCTGTGTCACTAGTGAAGTGGCACAAGTGTTGCTTTGGATCTTTTTGCATAGATAAAAAGCCTTGAAGGTCTAGCAGGTATCTAACAGAAGATTTCTGCTTTTAAGGGCTCTCACAGTCATTTCTTTCTTCTGGAGGCATGGGTGAAATGTGTATTTGGAAATTTAGATTTCCCTGCCCTAGAAATGGGAATTTCAAAGTAATGGGGCTTTGTACTTTACAGACCAGAAATGATAAGCAATGAGGTATGAAATGGGGTATTACTGACATTACATGAATAATGTGATATGTACCCTTAACAGCTTTAATAGCTGTTAAATTAGTTTTTATCATGATTCAAATGGCACAGTTTCATGTAATGTAGAATCATAGTCTCTGGGAATGGGACTTAAAAGGATCCCTCTGGGAATGATTTTCAGTTCTTTTAAGCTGTGCTGCTGACTGTGATAGATATTGGAAGATGCCTTCTACTTAAGGGTTTGGTGGGAGTTTTTTTATTATTATTATTAGATGAGCCTTCCATGCCTTCAGCTTTGCTGAAAAGAGCCTGAATGTACAAATACAGGTTAAACTGCCTTATTTTCACTATTGCGTTGAAAAACAGCTCAATTTCATAAGGCATATATTCAATGAACTGGGCTTTCAATGTTCCTGGCTGCTCTGCTGTCCTCTGTATTGGACATGGCAAGGTTTCTTGACTGGATGAGAAACTGTGCGCATACTACCTATTGAAGGCACATACAGCTTTGTAAGTCCAGCCTGTGCTTGTGGCCAGGGAGGCCCACAGCCTCTCCAGGCCTGCATCAGGAACAGCATCACATCACCTGCAAGTTAAGGGCGTGATCCTTCCCCTCCCCTCAGCACCTGGGAGGGCTACAGCTGGAGTGCTGGGCCCACTCCTGGGCTCCCCAGTCTGAAAGGGTCATGGGTATACTGGAGTGAGTCCAGTGAAGAGCCACAAAGATGCTGAAGGCCTTGAGCAGGTGAGTCATGTGGAGAGGGTGAGAGAGACAGCATTGTTCAGCCTGGAGAACAGAAGGCTCAGGAGGATCTTCTTCACATGTATAAATACCAAGAGAAAGTGGTGAGTGGAGCCAGGATCTTCTCAGTGGTGCTCAGGGGCAGGCCAGGAGGCAATGGGCATGAACTGGATGCACCCCTGAGCAACGTGCTGGCTGACGCTGCTCTGAGTACAGGGTAGTACTTGGGGAGGTCCTTATGGTAGGCTGACCCTGGCTGGACACCAGGTGCCCACCGAAGCTGCTCTGTCACTCCCTTCCTCAGCTGGACAGGGAAGAGAAAATAGAGTGAAAGGCTTGTGCATGGAGATGAGGGCAGGGAGATCACTCACCAGTTACCGTCATGGGCAAAACAGGCTTGGGGAAAATTAGTTTTAACTTACTGCAAGTCAAACCAGAGTAGGATAATGAGAAATAAAAACTCAATCTTGCAACGCCTGAAGTTGCACTGCAGGTTTTTTTCCCATTATCAGTGTTACCTCAGAGGTGCTGCCACTGTTGCTGATACGCTTGGCTTTGGCCAGCAGCAGGTCCATTTTGGAGCTGTGTTGGCCACCTCGTGGTCCCCTTCTTTCCCCCCCCCAACATTGCCACACAAACCCGATAGGGTTCCCCAGGTCCTCTTCCAACCTCATCTGTTGTGTCATTTTGTATAATGAGACAGTGGTTAATAGAAATGATGGATCCAATGTGAATTCATGTCAGGCCAGCACAGAGTGCAGGGCTTGGAGAAGGAATCTGGACAGCAATAAAGTTGGGATGCAGATGTGGTAAATGACTCTTCTGGAGAGAAGGGAACAACATTCATGAGCCGCTGGTGTGGTTGCCACAGGTGAAAGAGCTACTGTTAATATAGAAGGGTATCAGAAAAAAACAAATGGGTCAGTTTTTTCACTGCAAGCCTGAGAAGGCTGGTAGCAAAGATGACTGTAGCCTCTGCTCAGAGGGAGCTAAAACACTGCTGGAATTCGCTGTCCTCTCCCCGGTGTTCCTCTTTCTCTCCTCTGCTAAATGATCCAAGGTCTCTCTCATAAGCTTCAGAAGCTGAAGATGGCCAACAGCTGAAAATCAGAGTGTGCTTTTGTTCACACTGACAATACTCTATCACATAGATGTTGAAGGCTGATCTGTTGCTTTTAAAACCTGCTAGAGTTAATAACTGGAACTGTAGTTGCCCCTAGGCAGGCAGTACTGCTAAGAAGCAGTAATGTGTGCTCCACACTTCAATTCTCTTGACCCAAAGTCTTTGCAGCCAACAGTTTTTCTGATATTGGGGGGTGGTTGGTTGTTTTCCTTGGGAGTGTTTGGGTTTGGTTTTCTTGGGGTATTTAAGTTAAATGGGTCAGTAGGTGACTGTTACCTCCTTGAAAGTTGGCACAGCTCTACTTTTTAAGTTTCTTATTGAAACGCTTACATCTGAATCCCATGAAGTCGTACTGAGCAGCAGCCTGGAAGACTGGTGTCTCCTCTGCGCAGTCATGGCTGTAATACGCTGCCTGAAGAACGGGTCTCACAGGGTGCTTCATAGTTTGTTTTTCCGGGATTTCCACCCGGAGTTGACAACTGAAGGCATCTTTTAGGAACGAGAACTAGTGCAGTCCCTGAGTTACTTAGCAACCTGCAGAGTTTGTTACGGCTAAGGACTTAGAACTGGGGCATCTCCATCTAGTTAGCGGTAGATCGTTGTTTGGAAGAGCTGCTATCCTGTACTTGCCTTACAGAGATGGCACCGAGTTAAAAAGCTGTTGAATTCCTTGTTCCTGAATTCGCTTCCAGCCCCGGAGGCATTGCCGCGCTCCCCGCCCCAGCCCCTTTCCCCTCCAGTCCCTCTTTCGTCTCCCTTGTCCGGTCCGGGGCGGGAGGCGGCAGCGGGTCGTGTCCCCCCGGAGCCCGTCGGCCGGTGAGTCGGGGCGGGGTCGCCCCGGGGGGCGCGTCCCCCGTGCCGGGTGGTGAGGGGCGGCCCGGGCCTGTCAGTGCTCTCTCCGCTTCCCTGCTAATAGCGCGGGCAGCTCCGTTCTGCGCTCGGTGTCTGCGGGTGCGCAGCATCAGAGCGGCACCGTGCAGGCTCCGAGGGGTGCCAAGAGGTCCTGAGCCGCCGCCGAGCATTCGCGAGCGCTTTTGAGCTGAGCGTCTGCTTATAGGATCATTGGAAAGCAACTGGCTCTCGGGATCCTCTGCCTAATCAGAGGTGTTACCTCCTCCTCTTCCCCCAGTGTCTCTTGACATCATTTCATCCATCAGAGTTTCAGAGGAAAAAAAAAAAATCGAACCCACCCAGTCTGCGAGCAGCCCGCACCAGCCCTTCAGTTCTGCCGGGACTGCCGGGAAGAGCTGGAGCGGGGCAAAGATGAGGGATGGGAGCGGGGCTGAGCTCCTTGTCCTGAAGGACTGGGCGCGGGGCGAATCGAGAGGAAGCCGTGGCGATGGGCCGGCCGGCACCCCCCGAGCCCCGGGCGGGCATCAGTGAGTCCCGCGGCCACGCGTGGGGAGGCGGCGGCGCTTGACCCACGGGAAACGAGGAGCCCTCTAGGTGCGTGTGCTCCCGCCGGCCCTCGCTGTTCCATGGGCCTTCTGCTCCCCGCGACAGACCTGATGTGGAGGGAAGCGTTTCTAATATGAACTTTCTCCCTGGGATCTGGTGGTCTCTTCCCCTGGTCTTGGTCTGGGCGACCCCACCGGTCAGCTCCTCATGGTGGTAAGCTGTGCAATTCCAGGAATTTTTATTTGCTCTTGGGGAAGGTGGGGTCGGATTAATTGTAAATTAAGGAAGTGGGGGGGTAGGGGGAGCCTCTCCCTCTCAGACTTGTACAAGCGGAGCTCACTCCTGCCAGCTGCTCCGGTCCAGCAAGCCCGGCTTTACAGCGAGTGGGATTAGACGGGCTCGGCATCTCCTTCCACACCCCGTCCCTGCTCCCCGGCCGCCGCCTCCTTCATAAGCGCAGAGCAGATGTGGGGCCGAGCGGGCGGAGGGGTGCGGGGGGCCCGGCCCGGTCCGGCGGGGCCGCTGGCACCTTCCGGCCGGTGCTGCCAGACCGGACCCGACCCGACCCTACCCTACCAGAGGCGGAGCCGCCCGAGGGGCGCGGAGCGCTGTCTGCCAGCGGCTTCCCCGCGCCCCTCGGGGAGCTGCCTGCAGCAGGGGTGGGTTTTATTGGTATTAATGATTTTCTCCTTTTCCTCGCCCCCCCCATCCCCTTCCTCCTGTCAAGTTTGCCCCGCAAGTACGGCGGACCCCGGTCCCGATGACTCGCCGTCTCGCTGCGGGCCGTCCACGGGAGCCAGCAGCGAAACGGGCCCGTAGGATGGGTTGGGGTGGAGACATAGACCAGCCCTGCAGTCCCGACCCGGGATGGGGACCCCGACCAAGCCTGCACTGAAAAGTCTTGGCGTGGGAGAGGAATTAAACCGCCCTTATAAACCTGGGGAACACATTTAACCTTGACACCGGCTGACACGGGATCAAAGCCTGATTTATCAGATTGGGAATATTTCAATGGAATTATTATCTGTGTCCACAGTCGTATGAACGTTATTTATTGCGATGGCTTTTTGTAATGGTGTCTTTTTAACTGCCACTTAAACACTCTATTTTTTTCTTCTTTTGAAGTCACGGCTTTAACGCTTTTATGACCGTATAAACTAATGAAAATACAATAAAAGGACATTTTCTCCTGTTTGATCCCTTCAAAAGACACCTATAGGAGCTTGGGTTTTATGAAAGGTACCTTTCGAAACATTTCAGGACTAATAGAGACCATCTGGACACAGATGATGATGTAATTTAATTTAGTCAAGGTTTGGTTTTAGGTTTTATTTTTAAGTGCTGCACGGAGCTGTAGCAGCGGGGCTGGGGGCTCCCCTCACTGCTCCTTCGCCTTATTAAAAATCGCAGCACCGGGGGCTGGTTTCAAAGGATTTCCAGAGAGGCGGCGGAGGCAGCTGCAGCCCGAGGAAGGCTCCTGCCCCCGTTGGCCCGGCGCTGCCCTGTTCCTTCCCTCCCGCAGGTACATGGGGGCCGTAGGCTCGTCGCGGGTGATGTGCGACAACGTGCCGGGGCTTGTGAGCCGGCAGCGGCAGCTGTGCCGGCGGCACCCCGAGGCCATGCTCTCCATCGGCCGCGGAGTGGCCGCCTGGACGGCCGAGTGCCAGCACCAGTTCCGCAGGCACCGCTGGGACTGCAACGCCCTGGAGCGGGGGCAGCGCCTGCTCGGCCGCGTTCTGCAGCGCAGTGAGTCCCGCGGGGCGCGCACAGGGCGGTGCCGGGGTGCGGCGGGGCGCGCAGCCTCCGCGCAACTCCCGCCGCTTCCCCGGCGCTAAAAGGGGCTGTGGAGGGTCGGCGGGGAGATACGAGGGTGTTTAGGGACGGTCACTGCTGTGGTGCGCGGTAACACCTTCCTCCTCTGCTTCCCTTGCTCGCCGCGTTCGTTTTACAGTTGAGAGGAAGGGAAGGAGAAATGCAAAATTGTCCTCGGGTCTCGCAGTCAGCAGGACAAGAAGTGCTACTTTGCTTAAAAACCTGTATCAGAGCAGACAGACGTGGGAAAGGCTCAGGAAGGGGGACTGGCGTATTAGGGGCTGGCCCTGCACTTCCCAGCTTCTCAGGTTTTTTGGTACCTCATGGGCCCCAAAAACATAAGGGCCACAGAGAAACAGAGGTGCCAGAATGCAGCACTTGGGCAGAGGGCTTTCCGGCCCATCCCATGGAGGGGCACCAGTACTTGGCGGGGGAGGGGGGCGTGTATGAAAGGGGCAGCTTGTGTCCAAACACGTTCCCAGAATGTTGGGATGGCAGACGTCGGGATGACAAATGTTAACCCTTTCCACAGCTGGTTCCCCCTGGAGCATTTCACTGGGGAAGGCTGCCTGTGAGGTGTGGGGTCTGTGCCTGTTCCAGGGCAGCATGGCCCTGCAGACTCTCAGCCCTCTGTGGGGGGTTTGACTACTCATCCCTCAGATCAGGCTCCAGGAGAGATAAGCAGGGACACATCTGGTAGGTCTGAGCCAGGCCGTACAGACCCCCAGCAGCTGAGGACTGCAATGCGCTTCCCACCTTGCGGGAGGACAGTTACACAGGGTATTGTTGCTATCTAAATGTTGAACTAAGGCATCTAGTGAGCCTTCAGACAGTTTATATGGTCCTTTTCACTCAAAGAGATGGCTGAGGTCTGTTACTGTGCCAGGATGTCCTTACCCAGGTGATAAACGTGCTAAGATTCCTCTGAACTGTGGCTCCTTTCACCAAACGCTATGCCTGCGCACACAGCTGTGGTGCACAGCTGGTGGGGCCAACCCTGCCCTGGCATGCACGTCCCTGGGATGTTCCCAGCATGGTAACAGCCTCTCCAGGCTGTGAGGAGCATGGTGCCTGCAAGGAGAGGAGGATGAAGGTGCCCTGGGGCCAGAGCCTCACCGGTGGGGATGGAGAGGAGGATAGGAGGGACTGGGCATGCTGACCTTAGCAGTAGGATTTCATCCACGGAGCATCATTCAGTGCCAGGCTCTGCTGCTGGTTCCCATAACCAGCTTCATGTTCCCTTACAGATGTTAGCAGTAACATCACCCATCTGCTGAAGTGTTTGATGAGGTTTGTCTGACATTCAGGAAAACACATCCAGCAGAACATGGCCTAATGCTGATGAGCCTATTTCATAAAAAACGGTAAAAATGCATTTTTTCCAAAAGTGAAGTTTTCACTGTTGGCTCATGGGAGAGAATTAAGGCATGAAGCTTCTGGGCTCTGCGCTAAGCCTGATCAGGCAGAGACTGTAGCTTAGTATTGCTCTAGTTTAAAATGGAATGGTTTTGATTAGTTTAATAAACCCAAATGAAGCATTTCTCTTCCAAATACATCAAGTGTTTCTTTTTAATTAACACTAAAAAGTTGTGATGTTTCTCCATATGTCTTCTCCCAAATAAGTCTTCAGAAGAGCATGGTCTGTAAAAAGGCGTAGTATTCCCCGCCTGATTTTGAAGGCAGCGTAGGGAAGGCAGAGTTTGTCCAGTCCTTTTGCAAGCTTTTAGTGGCCATTTGCTGAAGGTTTGCACAGCACATGGATGTTCAGGGCTTTTCCTATTTGAAACATCTAGATGTTACTGGAATAGAAATACTAAATAATAAGATAAACTGTGTAATGCTGCCCCTACAATAAAACCACAGATAATATTCACTCTTCGGGGTCCTGCTTTTGTGCTAACATTACCTATGCCTTACAAGTCCTCTGCATGGGTCTCTCTCACTGCTAGGGGGTCTTAGACACTGCACAGAAATCTACTTCTCACCTTTTCCACGCTAAAACCTTTAAAGTATGAAAATATCCCATTACTATAGAGTTGTGACAATATAATATAGCTCTGTTTTGTAAATTACTACCTCCTAAAATAAACTTAAGCAATTACTGCATTGAAATACATTCCCAATAGCCTAAAAGTAGGCACAGTCTAGAAATGCAGATAATCTTTGGTATAATAAAGTATCTTCATTAAGTGGAGGGAAAACTGCCCAAGCAGCTGGCGTGTAGAAGTCACAGCTGCCAGGCCAAATCCTGCCTCAAGCATGACACACGCAGTGCCACTGATTTAATGGAACTTGTTTGTGTGAATTACGGTTACCGGGCTTGGTTCTGGGCAGAAAATCTAAATTTAACTTATTTTCAGCAAATAACACCCAAGATTTCCCCCTGCTGCCCTTTAAGCAGGAGTGTTTATTCTGAGTGCTTCGGAAGAGGAAAAGCTGGTTTCAAGCCTTATTTGCAGTATTTTGCAAGCGTGCATGTTGTTTCAGAGTCCCTGCTTAATAATTTCTTAAACCTAGCTCTGTAACAGCACTTCATATATTCTCTAAATTGATGAAACATGTTAGAAATACCAGCTGTCCTATTCACATATCTGTAGAGAGCAACTGATCCATGAAAGTATATTAATCAATATCAGAAGCAAGCATTTAATGTTTTCCAACTCTAACACTATATTGATGAGCTTTTACCAGGGAGGGGTCCAAGTTTAAGCCATGACTAATTCTGGCTCCAGGGAATGTGTATTATTTGTGTGATTTCAGCCCGGTTTTATCTTCTGCTTCGCAAAAATGTCCAGGCTAGCTGGGCTGGGATAGCTGCTCAAAATAAGTACCCCAGTGGTTTTAAAGTGACTTCTTTTTGTTTCAGGTAGTCGGGAATCTGCTTTTGTGCATGCCATCTCCTCCGCTGGAGTTGTTTTTGCCATCACCAGGGCATGTAGCCAAGGGGAGCTGAAATCCTGCTCCTGTGATCCCAAGAAGAAAGGCTCTGCTAAGGACAGCAAGGGCCATTTTGACTGGGGGGGCTGCAGCGATAACATTGACTATGGCATTAAGTTTGCCAGAGCTTTTGTGGATGCCAAAGAACGGAGAGGAAAAGATGCAAGGGCGCTGATGAACCTTCACAACAACAGAGCTGGAAGGAAGGTGGGTATATATCCAGCAGATGCCTGGAGATCCTCTCAGAGAGTTCTCAGGGGTCTGGGGCAGGTAAAGGTTGGCTCTGGCTGACAAGTCTCAGTAGTCAGGAAGAAGTATGGGATGAGCAGGAGCCTGAGGTGGTGTTTCTCCCTTGGAGGCTTAGTGTGGCAGAGATCTCCAATCAGGTCATTTTCAACTGCTTAACAGTACTCCTGTCTGAGTCTGTTCATTGGCTCCTTGTGTGAGAAGATAAGCAGGAGTCCAAGTTGTTGTAGCATCAGTTTGCATGGAGAAACCTTCATGCAAATCTCCATGTTTTGAGCCTTACATATGGAAGGGGTTTACTTTTGGTTAATATAGAATAGAAATTCCTAAGGGAGGCTGAAGGCCAGACTGAAGAACAGGCTTGACTGTTAAAGAGCAAACTCAAAATAGCATTAGAGGGAAAAAAAAACCATCGTGTCCCTTCATGTATGCATACGGTAAACCTAAACACAAAATGAGCAGAAAGAAAATACGACTTCACTTTTTTAGACAATGAATCCAAAACGCATGTCCCTCCAAAAGGCATTTTCTTTGTGGCATGACCTGCTCTAAACAACCCCCTTTTAGAAATGTTGTATGAAAATACCATTCCAGAATTTCCACAAAAAGACTCCTTACTTTTTTGTTGTAGGCGAGTAGGCGTAGTTGCTGAGTGTACCGGCAACTGCTGGTGCGAGGGCTGAGGAATACATGTGCTCACATTTCGTGGTGATAGCTATAAAGAGTAAGAATAGGGCATGGAACTGGAATATGCTGTGCCATTATTCAAAACATAATCAAAATCTGCTCCATCCATGACAACTGGAATAGCACAGAAAAATATTTCATAGTGCTGGACCAAGCCCTTCTCAGATGATCATAGAGACCTCTCTGTCTTTGGTTTTCCTTAATGTATATTCAGTAGGGAGGAAATCGATCAAATTCTGATCTTTTTTGTATTAAGAAGTTCCCTTTATAAACTGTAAAATTATTCTATATTAACTATCCCTTATTAGAAGCAAAGATCTAATTTTAATGGCTTGTACTGCAAGAAGATGATTTTCCTGATAAGTATTTCTCCTTTGACATCTTTTCTTCATCTGTTTATTACCAGCAGGTGTAATGAATTTGTAGTACAGACAGACGAACCTATTGCTTCATTACTGAGTGATACTCATATGCAATACTATGGCTGTATTTATGTCACTGTCCAAAAGAGACTGCAGTCTTCAACACAAGCAAAGACTTCATCAGGGTGAATTAGCTCCCTGTACTTCCTGTAATAGTTGAGCATCTTAATAAGTTTAAAAAATATATATATAGAATCACGGAATAGTTTGGGTTGGAAGGGGCCTTAAAGCTCATCCAGTTCCAACCCGTGCCGTGGGCAGGGATACCTTTCACTAGAGCAGGTTGCTCAAAGCAGTAAAGAATTTCCTCCCAATATCTGATCTAAATCCACCCTCTTTCAGTTTAAAGCTATTCTCTCTGTTCTATCCCTACAGACCATTGTAAAAAGTCCCTCTCCATCTTTTTGTAGGCTCCCTTTAGGGACTGGAAATCTACTCTAAGTTCTCCCCTGAGCCTTCTCTTCTCCGGGCCAAACAAACCCAACTCTCTCAACCTGTTTTCACAGGAGAGGTGCTCCAGCCCTCTGAGCATCTCTGTGGTCTCCTCTGGACTCACTGCAACAGTATACGCCAAATAGTAAGGCAGTATTGGTAAGGAGGTAGGGTTTTTAGAAAAAGATCAAATTTTCCTTAATAATTATATTAGATTAAAAATAACCCATTCTCAAATGCTCTAGGCCCTTGCTTACTGAGAGGCGCGCTGTTTTGTAACCACCATGCAATAGCGTAGGTTTAGCTGTGCAAGGATCTCACAGCCTCAGCCTGCCCACAAGCCGGGCATTTGGATCTGTATGAGACCAGCTGTGAGCTCGCCATTTTCTCACCCCCAAAAGGGGTTTCGATAGGTTTCTTTTAAAACTAGTCTATTCAGTTTTTACTAACTCAAAAATACTTAGAATCAATATTTATAATATTCCCATATGAGTCATACAAAATAATATGCTATGTATCATTATAGGAACATCACTGACAAAAAAATTGCAAGTCCTGCACTCCTATGTATGTGATTCTTCCACTATTCCAGCAAGTTGTTCTAAACCTACAAGTAGTTAAACTGATTTCTACTCAGATAATTAAAACCAAGCATCTGCTTAAATCCCAGTTCGTGATAGTACTATTGGCAATGAAGTGGGGCTGTGGGAATGCCAGTGACTTCTTTGAAGTAGTCATATTGTTTACAAGTTGCAAAGAAAATTAAAAGTACTTTGGTTCTAAAATACAATTCTCACTTTATAACTTAATGCCTGACTGAAAAACACTGCCCTGCTGTGCATCAGTCTCGTTTCTAATCATGGACCTTTCCTCTCTCTTACTTTCCTCCCATGATGCTGGTCTTCTTGTACAAACTCTAAAATGTCCATATTCCATGAGCCCTTAAGGCATAATATTTATAGATTAAATATCAGCATCTTCAAAATTACAAATGAATTATTTATTGTCTATGGACCCATCTGTTGTTCTCCAGCATCATACAGGTAGCCTGAATGTCTGAGAGGAAGCTGTAATGGCTTTAGTGCTATCCAAACATTAAATTAATGATGAAGGTGATCTCTCCAGTGCAAACTAATGAAGGGCTTATTCTAAAGTGTTTGCTTGAAGGTTTATAAGCATTTAAAATCTATTGTATTTTAAACTTTTGCATGGATGTGATGCCGAGCCCGGGGGGGATGCTTTGCACAGTCTGTCAAATTATTTAAATACGAAATGCCTATAAATGTCTGGGCAATATTTGAAACACTATTCAGGGCAGGGAGCAGCTTTGTGAATCTGAGCTAGAGAGGGGCAGCATGGCGGTGCTTCCGTGGGAACAGTGGGGAAAGAGGTACTTTGGGCTACCAAGAGGCTGAGTGATTCTGTCCACTTCCCAGACCTCTTCCTCCTGTGCAGCCTTTGTCCTAGCGTTATGGAGCATCCCGACCCTCGGGACGGCTTGCAGGAGTGAGGAAGATAAGCCCACCAGCCGGAGGCTTGTGTGTAGGGTTGAGTCAAGCAACCAGAGCAGGCCAACCGTGTGGGGATGACTTGATGTTACCAGTGGGTGTCACTACAGACCGTGATTTGGAGACCTGCAGGTCTGCGAGGCTGGCATTGCAGGATGAACGGAAATGACACTTTGTTTTATCTGTGTATATTTTACTGCGTTTCTAAACAGGCCGTGAAGCGGTTTTTGAAACAGGAGTGCAAATGTCACGGTGTGAGTGGATCATGCACTCTAAGGACCTGTTGGCTGGCCATGGCAGACTTTAGGAAAACGGGAGATTATCTGTGGAAGAAATACAATGGAGCGATTCAGGTGGTCATGAATCAAGATGGCACGGGTTTCACTGTGGCTAATAAGAGATTTAAGAAGCCAACTAAGAATGACCTGGTATACTTTGAAAGCTCTCCAGACTACTGTATCAGGGACAGGGATGTAGGTAAGCCTCTATCATTACACCTGAATGGTTTTATTTCAGACATTTGTACTTTGAAGTACTTACTATTGAGTGTGTGTGTATGTGTATATGTATATGTAAATCCATGCATGTAATCAGCAGTAAACGGGCAGGAACATATTTTGGAAGGCCGGTTCTTTACAAGAAGAATAGCTCTTCGATACCCCTAGATGTTAACCAGACACTAGTTCTAGTACAATGCAGCAGTTTCTTCCAGGTGCTAAGGAGCTCTGGAGCTGCTGCAAGGCAAAAGCTGCTTTTAGGACAAGTTTGAGTTCTGCTCTGGGGGCAGGTCCATACTTTACACAGCTTGTACATGCTTGTATCCCACAGCTTACTCCAGAGCTGCCAGATGTAACTACATCAGTCCCAAGCCTGTTAATTCTCTATGTCCCCTTCTGTCACATTTCTTCTTGTCCATACTGTTATGCTACTGCTGCAGACATCCAAGAGACCAGTGTCCTCCTCTATCTGGAGCTGACTGTGGATCCCCTAGTTGCAGACACAGCTCTCCCCATCGATAATGTAGGTGTGCCACTGTCAGTATGTGGGACAGGGCATCTAGAGGACATGCAGGTGGATGAAAGGATAGAGGTCAGTGGGGCACAGCACACTGCACTGAGTGACACAGCTCTTTGCGAGACAGTGTTGGCTCCGTCCATGATAACCATCGCGTTTTCTGAAGAGCTGTGCCAGCTCCAGTGGGAAGAGGTGAATTTTCAGGGCTGCTGTTCACATGGAATTTTTTCTGCTTTTGTAGTTTTCAAGAGAGACGCACTTAACAGTGTTACAGGATTCAAGGACCTGCCAAGCACCAGGAATCCCAGTGTTGGTTCATGACCCACGTATAGTATTTCCTGATGCAGCAATTAAGAACTAGCAACTAGAAAACCAGAAATTTGGAAAAGAGAGCCAGGCTGAATAATGTATGAGGGATGTTGTGGAACTAATTAATAGGTTGTATAACATACCGGATTGCACCCTGTATGACATATCTGTAAGTATCTGAATAGCAATGCAGCTCAACTCCTTTTGGCATTGCTGCATATTTACAGTCCAAGTTTACTTGGAATAAGCATTGCAAAACAACTGCACTCAAATAAGAACAATATGTGAAATCCTGGTCATGTACTCTTGACTTCAGTGAACCCAGGATTTCCTCCAGTACACTCGTGTTGTACAGTGTTTCTGGTTAGTTGAGTAGCCAAGGTAATTTTAAATGTTATTCATGGCTTTTGCAGGTGATGCTTATTACCTGCACAAGTACATATTGTTCCTTGAATAGCGGTTGATCCTGTAAAGTCTAATACTTTAATCCAAGTGAATAAATGGGCATACTGCAGCACTGTGCAGGGACTAGCTTTGGCGATTAGGATTTATTCAGAATTTGAAGTTGCCTCAATCATTGTAAAACCTGTGCTTCCTTTCTCCTGAAAGGAGAGCTTGTACGTGAACCACTTTTATGTCAAAAAGCCATTTAATAATCTTTTTGTGCTGAGCCTAATCTCATCTGTCAGCCTTGCTATCGTGGAGGAGAGTGGGCATTTTTGCCTGCAGTATGTTGTGTGCTCTTGCCTGATGCTGTCAAACCTGCCCAGAGATGGCAGAGTCTGACATGTGCTTTGGCTCAGCTCGAGATAAGGCTGTGGGTGAGGCCGTGTTTCTTCCCTGCCCAGAATTCAGAGAATGTGTCTGTTTGGAAGAGCACATTTTTGGCAAGCTGTGGTAAACCTTGAGTGGGATGTGGGATGTCCTGCTGCCTGCATGGAGCAAAAGAGAATCTAAAGCTCATTTGGCTTTGAAAGAGGTGATTTCTGCAGCTGAACAGCATTTTTTCTTTATTATCTTTGGTTTTCCCTCTTGAGTGGTCCAGAGTGTCAGCCCTGTTAAATGACTGGAAATGAAATGAGATTATGGAAGTCTGAGTTTGGAAATAGGTGGGGAACATCTCAGCATCAGCTAAATCTAATAACACAGCACGTCAGTATGCCCTTGAATACAGTTGTGCCTTTCATTCTTGCGGGAATTTAATCGATTTAGTGCTTCAGGAAACAATCAATCAAACAAAATATCTGGGGATTGGTTAGTACTGGGACTGAACAAAGGATTCCCACAGTAAAACTTACGAAGCGTCACAACTTGACTAAGAGACAGCTTCACAAACTGTAAAATGACCAAGCCAGTGTCCTCTGTGGCTTGCATAAAGTAATTTACTATGGCCAGTAAATTGAAGGTGCTCAGGGCCTGTATCATCAGTGCCTTAACCAAAAACCCCACATCCTTCATCTTCTGCCGTAGGAGCTTTTAGCACTGGTTCTTTTTTCTGGTTGCCAGGCAGGCACTGGAGGGTCCTAGGGCTGAATATACCCCACTGGGTCTGGCAGTATTTCTGGGGGAGGCAGCTGGACGTACATACATGGATCACCCGTACAAGATGAAGAATGTGGTATTAATATTGTTTTTTTTCTAAAGGAAAAGAGGAGTTATTAATTTGGGGAGAGGTATAATCTATGGAAATCACTGCTAGCATCTCAATAGCAAGAGAACGCAATAACCTAACCACGTCTTGTCTAGCATTAAGATTTCAGGACTTTCAGAAAAGGACCAAAGGAAGATTATCAGAAGTGTTCAGAATTCATTTAACTCTGCTTATGCGGAGCTGAAACAATCTTTATTCACAATTTTGTACTCACAATCTGATAGAAACAGAGGTAGGACATCCAAGAGGGATACGAAAACCTTGTCATAAACGTACTAATTTTTGCCACACTTTGCATGATCTTCTCTTACATTATCATGAATTCCCAGCTCCCCAGACCAGTGCAGAGTAGCCAGGACTGCACATGGGGAGACCTGTTAGAAATTATAAAGCTGTGAAGGAAAATAAAATGATTTCTATGCAAGCATCAGTCCTTATGTTGTACATACTGTCTTACCCTTACTGCACCTCCAAAATGCTCTGAAAAATGCCTCTTGCTTATCTGCTTGTAAGCTTCAGTCAGTAGCCGTTGAAGTTTCAGAAGATTGCTGTCTGACCATCCACACAGGCTGGGTTGATTGAAAGCTGTTGTAAGTTTACCATGCTTTGAATGTACTATTGGGTAAGTAGAGACCGTGTTATAACATAGAAGCCATAGCGTGGGCATCACCAGGTTGCTGGCCAAGCCTTCGTTACAGGCTGCTGTCCATGCACACTATGAAAGCAGTGTAATGTCTTCCTGCAAAAGAAAACATTTCAGAACAGGCTTATTACAAATTAATTTGTACAAAACTCTCCGGGCAGTGTTTGAGTGAGGCCTCTTCCTGCAGGGACACCCCCACCAGAGTGTGCAGAGCGAGCTGGGCTCAGCTATGTGTGTTGAGGTGGTGCATATGAGCGGGCAGGTTGTGTGCCCAGGCCGGGACACCAGTGTGGAGGTGATGGGTGAGCGGCAGGGTGGCGTTGGCAAGCGTGTGCTGACTGTTCACAACTGTTCTGGCAGCAGTGAGGCTTTGGCCATGTGGGGGTGGCGGTGGAGCAGAGGTAGGGCACATCTGTGTGCAGATGATCTTGAGCTGTTCCAGCAGTCCTTCAGGACCTGCTGCAAACCCATGTGCTATGTGCTTCAAGTCATCTGCAGGTTTCTCCTGATGCTCATGTGGTCATGATTTAGGCACTTGTAAAGCCAGCATCGCTGCCTCTGCCTGTGCGTGGGGTGGGGATTATGTACCTGGGTTGCGGTGGCTACTTTGTGTATTCCCAGTAGGCATCTGGGGTGTTGTGATGGTGTTTGAAAACCCTCCACACCCAGCTCTGTGGAGATGCATGTGCAGTGCTACAGGCAGCCCCTGGAGATGCGCATGGGGCAACAAGCAACATGCCCAGGGTCTGTTGCTTCTCTTCACAGAGTTATTTTCCTGTTAATTTATTTCCCCTGCTGCCCAACATGAGCTATTTGCTGCATTTTTGAGATGAATGAGACAGAGTCCAGAGCGAAAGACAGGTGGGAAATTCAAGTATAGCCTGCAAAGTACTGGTGCTATGCAAGATGTGTTAGTGCTTGAGGTATGTAACCCATGGAGGGAAACCAATGCTGATCTATGTTAGAAACTTCTCACTGAGATTAGCTACATACAGGCAGTTCCTGTGTGACTTCTTGGCTTGTGTCTCCCCCTTTACACATTGCAAACTTGTTGGGTGCACTCCCAGCCCCGTGGAAGCTGACAGTGGAGCTCGCAATGACTTCCATCAGGGCAGCTCTCCTACAAGCACCGTCCGGCCAGGGAGCCGTGCAGTCCCCCCAAGAGCCACTGGGAGTGGAGAGGTTATGGCAGCCTTCAGAGCAGTTGGAAACTAGAAAGAGACACGTCTTCACTCTAAACTGAATCTGTTGCTGGCCTGGGAAATCCCAGCCCCTCCAGCAAGGCTGCTGCTGGTGTGCGCTGCCTGTTCTCTTCAGTGGAAATTGGTTATTGTTGTTGGGGGTTTCACTGTTTTATTTTGGGTTTTTTTTTTAGGTGAAAGTCAAATAATCAACGATTTTATTGCTTAAAATCAGATTGTTAATCAGTAGGAATAGAAGGGAAAACTTGAGTTTTAAGGGAATAAATACATCTTAGTGCTGTAGGGTGGGAAAAAGATGTTTTTCAACTCTACCATATGTTTGCTTAAGAAAAAAACTGTGCAAACCAAGAAGAAAGGGTTTGATGTATGGGCCTTAAAAGTTGGCAGTGTTAAAAGCTGAGGATGTTTTGGCAGGTATAACGTTGTGTTTCGGTGTGGCAATTCCAACGCTTGAAATAAACACAAAGAGGTTGCATGAAAGCTTTTTGCAAGTTAGAACATCCTCCTGCCTCTTAAATGCTGAGTAGGTGCATTGCAAAGGTCGGAAAACTGCCTTGTTTAGTTTGGTGTCTTCTGCTGCCTTCATCACCTGGGCACCTGAGTGCCCACTGAGGAGCACTGGCCGCTTGCTGTCAGTATTGCTCATTTTCTTTCTCATGAGAGAAGCTGCAGAGATGCTGAAGATGCTGTCTGAACTGTCAGCAAACATTGGTTTTGCTCAGAAAATAAGTGTTTGTATGAGCCTGCTTTCGTTTCTGTCACGTTCTGTGGATAATTTAGCCTCCTCTCCTAGTGGCACAGTAGATGATGTATTCTGGGCAGTATCAGATGATACCAGCTTCTGACTCTGTTAGCAGCTGAAATCATTTTGCATTTGAAGTCAGTGGTAAAACTCCTGTTGAAACCAGTGGGTGTCTCCTGCTGAGGTTCTCCTTCACTGCTGTGCTATTTCCCCAAGCATCTGGAAATGAGAATTTTGGAGTTGGAAACTAGCCTATGCCTCAGCTGAGGAATGTGGTCAGACCTTTCCAGGGCAGGTCCTGCAGGGTGTGGGGGGGCTGGGGTCTTTCGTCACCACCTGCAGCCAGGCGGGAGGTGAGCTGAGGTGGAAAGCAGCTTTGCTGTTCCTCTGATGGAGAAATGACACTGGTCTGGCCACTAAATGACAGTGGCACAGTGAAGGATCCATTGAGTGACCAGCTTGTAGCACACAAACCACATGCAGAGAGTGAAACACTCAGTGTTTTGACATCTACCCCAAATCACAGGTGGAGATAGTTGTCCTGGGTGTGCTGCATTACACAGCCCAGGCACACCAGGACACTGAGGCTGGGCCTTGTCCGTGGGGTAAAGCAGGACGCAGAGCAAGGGAGGTGAAGGGGAGTGGTGCAGGGAGGTGAGCAGGAATTCACACCAAATTCCTGACGCAGAACATTAATCGCAGCAGTGGCAAGTTTTGCCTTTGTACTTTCCTTTTTCTTTGAGCAGAGGGCAGGACAAGCACCTATAAAAGTGGCTATTCAGTTGTATTTTGTACAATCTGGGATGCAATGGATATTGCTTTGGGCTGACAGAAGCACCAGCACTAAATAAGATGTCACAGTGCTCTGCACAGCATCGTGGATGGAGGAGAACGTGGTGGCCGGGAAGCAGGGTTTGGTTTGCTTTCTGCCCCAGGCTTCCTAAGGGACCACAGGCAGATCCTGTAGCTTTGCATCCTCCTGACTCCTCAGCCCATCCCCAGGCTGCGGGCACCCGGGATCACAGGAAGTCTTTCTTGCCCCAGTGTCGAGCGATTCCTAAAAAAGGATCTGGGAAGAGCCTTTTGGCATCCCTGCTTTGCCTGTTGAGTAGGTTGCCTCAGTGCAGCTGGCCTTGTAGGGATAGCTGCATAGCAGAGGGCTTGCTAGGGGTGATGTCTGCTCATGGTGGTACTTCTCTGCCCCAGGACCCTCTGCATGGGATCCAGGCACCAGCACTGGCTGTTGGGACAGGAGACCGGGAGTTACTGCTGGTTCCTTGGTGCAGGGTGAGCCCGATGCAACGTCACTGGTTTTTACATCCAAGTGAGGTGCTCCCCAAAACAGCAGAGACTTTTAAGCACTGTTCAGCTGCCTGCCAAAGATGCTGTGCAGAGTGCTAGTCCCTGGCAACAGTGTGAGCAGGCTTGGATCCACAGGACATCCGGGATTTAACAGGCTACTGGAGCAGAAGCCCATCTCTGGCTCTGTCCATCTGTCTTCTCCCTCTGCCTTTTCCCTCTTGGGTGGCTCAGCAGGTCTCTACCTTGCTGGCACAGCAGCACCTCTGCAGCTGAGGACCCTTGAGCTGGGGGCAGGTGGCCACCCAATACCTCTACTCACTGAATATTTGAATATTTAAATAAACACAGGTGTAGAGGTTATGGGGGAGAAGGCTGAGATGCCTTCCAGGGACTCAAACACTCCTCCAAGCAGCAGTCAAAGCCTGTCCTGACTTAGATGCAAGAGCCATGGTCTGAGAAGGTGACTTCATGGAAGTCCATGAAACTCCTCACTGCCTCAGGGGCTGGACCCAGGCCTGAAAAGACATCAAGTGCTGTAGGGGATGGAGAAACAACAAATACTGGTGTGTTGTGAACTGCTTCAATACAGCAACATCAGTGCATACAACCAGAAGTACACCATAGGGGAAAAAAAAAAGAAAATAAGAATTTATGAAGCTTAGATTTTTAATAATTACAGCTTATGATTTATTAAGATGGATTTGCTATCCTCACTCATGCAAATTTCAATTAACTTCTGCACGTATTTTTTTTCTTTGAGAAAGTAAATTGTTGATGTTTGATGTACATCTGTTAATAAACTTTGTAAAATGTTTCCAGTTAATTTGATGACCACAGTCAATATTTAGGGAATCCTGTTTTGGCCAACAACATAAGAATGGAGCTATAACCAGGTCTAGGGAAAATGTCAGAACAAGTTAATCTTCTGGATATACCTGAAATTGGTTTATTGTAGCAATACATAAGAAATTAGATAAAGCAATGAGTAGTCATAATTTTCAGATCGGTAGCAATAATCTGTCAACAGCTGGGGTGTAGATCCCAAAGGGTACCCTAAAATAAGCTTGTGTTAGATGAGCAGTTGCTCCTCTGTGGTTCAGTTGCTGTTCCGGCAATGACATGCCTTAAAGAGCTGTTTTGTGCCACGTGGAGATAGGCAGAGGCATTTCAGCCACTCCAGAGAGGTTTTAAGAACATGAAGAGACACCCCACTTCACACAGCCCTGGGGACTGGTTGCACGGCTGCCTCGGGGAGGGTGTCTCCTTGCTGGAGAGGACAAAGGTGCTATGGAAAGATGAAGCAAGCATGGTGATACTAACAGAATCAGGCAGCGCCTTGAAGTATGGGGTCCATTTTGCACCTTCTCAACTCCAGACCTGATTTCTAGGAGAAATTTGAGAGCAGTTTTACCTTATTATAGGTATTTATAGAATCATAGAATAGTTTGAGTTGGAAGGGACCTTCAAAGGTCATCTATTCCAGCTCCTCTTCAATAGATCAGGTTGCTCAGAACCACATCCAGCCTGGCCTTGAATGTCTCCAGGAATGGTGCATCCATCACCTCTCTGGGCAACCTGTTCCAGTGTTTCACCACCCTCATCGTAAAGAATTTCTTCCTCACATCCAGTCTGAATCTCCCTTCTTTTAGTGTAAAGCCATTACCCCTCATCCTATTGCAGCAGGCCCTGATGAAAAGTCTCTCCCCATCTTTCTTATAGGCCCCTTTAAGAACTGAGAGGAGAGGCCACAATAAGGTCTCCCCAGTCTTCTCCAGGCTGAACAATCCCAACTCTCTCAGCCTTTCCTCATAGGGGAGGTGCTCCATCCCTCTGGTCATTTTTGTGGCCCTCCTCTGCACCCTCTCCAACAGGCTCATATCTTTCCTGTACTGAGGACCCCAGAGGTGAATGCAGTACTCCAGGTGGGGTCTCACTAGAGCAGAGCAGAGGGGCAGAATCATCTCATTGGCTTGATACTGAATCCCTGGAGGTGTGATGCTAAAGGATCAAATACACTGCAGGTTATGTCTCCTACCCCTATTTCATGTGTTCTATCCTTCCCTAAAGCCCACCTCCTGACCTTCACTGCGCTCCCCTTGCAGGGTCCCTCGGGACAGCCGGCCGGGTTTGTAACCAGACGTCCCGTGGCATGGACAGCTGTGAGGTGATGTGCTGTGGGAGAGGCTACGACACGTCCCGTGTCAGCAGGATGACAAAGTGCGAGTGCAAGTTCCACTGGTGCTGCGCTGTGCGCTGCCAGGACTGCCTGGAAGTGGTTGATGTTCACACCTGCAAAGCACCAAAGAGCGCTGGCTGGATCTCCCGTACATGATGCGCAGGCTACTGGTGCTTGAGGACCACAGCTTTTGCCCTCCCTGGTCCACGCAGGGAATATGCCCAAGGTCTTCTTTACTTTTACGTCAGTTTTGCCTTTGTCTTTCATTGCGCAGAAGCTGATGACTAATCAATACAAATTCTGCAGCATTTGCTTCCCATTTCTGCATGACAGTGCTGCTGCTGAGTTGTCTCTGCATAAACTGAGGCAGCTCTGGAAGGATGTACTTCTGGCAGGACTCTTCTGACCGACACTCAACTCTCCTTCAGACTCCTTGTGGCTATTTGTTCCTGCCATGAGGAACACAGTGAGATGCAAAGATGGGGCATTTTCTGCAAGGCCACCACCACCAACTGCATGGCTGACTTTGCTCAAGCATCTTCCGAAGGATCTCGTGCTGGTCCACAGTCACGCGTCGGATACTGAAGCGCTCAGGAATTTGAGCACCAGTTGGTGATTCCTCCGTGAGAGAAAATCTGGGGCCAGGCTGGGTGAAAGGCTTTACTGAAGGAGTGTTTGTCCATCCCCAGTGGACTGGGGTTTGCAGTAATGTGGCCACCTGAGGCCAACCCAGCCACCGTTGGCACACTGTGGCTTCCTGTGGGGCAGAAATTGGCCCATGGCGAAAAGCAAAGGAAACTGCAGGAGATGTATCCAACCACAACACTCCCATAAGCTATTGAAAAGTCAAAGCAAATGTCTTAGTTATGTATTTGTGAAAACTTGCCTTAAAAGCTTTTAAAAGGCCATTAACTGCTGTGGATTTTGTGATCTGAAGGATCAAAGCAATTTGTTTTGCAGCTTAGTGAGAGCTGGGTATAGCGCACTCAGCTACCAAAGGATGAGGTTTTCTAGTTGCCACTTACTGAATAAGCAGAAAAACATTTGCATAAAGCTGATAGAGAAAGAAATACCTTGTCTCAGTAATGATCGGGTTTCTAAAGAATCTATCGACTTCTATGTTCTTTTAAATGTAATAAATCTATTAAATGTGTTCAAAATTACACTTTTTATTCAGATGGGAACAGCTAAACAAGATTTTCCCTGAATACTTTCTGCAAGGACTTGTGTTTATGATTAAGGGTGCACTGGCCTTCAATGGAGGCAGTTACAGGTTGTGCCAGGTCTATATGCTGGGCTGGGATCAGCATAAAAACCAAATTGCTGGAAAGATGTGCAGGCTCAGGAGGCTCAGAAATCACAGCTTCATGGGGGAGGAGCTGGGTCAGACAGGGACCAGCTGCCTCTCCTCTCCTCAGAGCAGAGGCCAGCAAATGCACCAGGATGAAAGATAGGTTCTGTGCCAACCGGTCTTATAAGGCTCTAGAAAAGCACCAATGAACTTCAGGGACGGGCAAGGTAACGAAAAAATAACATCGCAAATAGAGGTTGAGTGGGTGATAGAACATACTGTAGATGCAGGTAAAATTTCTGTATGAAAATGAAGAAGATGCAAGGAACCCTAACAGGTACAAACAGTGCATGAAAAAATAATATACAAGTAGCATATCATGGCAATAATGTGAGCACTCTGGTTATGTTGATTTTTTAAAAGGAATATTTAAAAGGAATGGGATTTTACATTCAGGGGCTTGAGGGAGCAGTCATTTCCATCTGTAAGGCTTTGGAAAATGTTTGTATCATTAAAATAGGTAAGTCATCTCCAGAAAGCACAGCTGGAGGGTCTAGAAGGGTATTTATTTGGAAAATAAGATGATGTCTCGGTTACTGTATACGGCATTAATGCCATGATCATGGCTAGAAGTAAGAATAATCACGGTATAAAGCAACTGCTGGTGGGAAAAGCCCTATCAGCGTGTACAGTGTGTGCAGTACGCACGCATACAGTGCAGGTGTATATATGTGTACACATTTATTTCAGTGGTTACCCTGTTGGCCTCACTACTGCTGGCAATTCTGGCTCTGGGCTGGATGAGGAAAATTTCATACCTGGTTGTATTTAAAGGTGAGCTCCAAGGAGGCTTTTTATTAGCATTTCATTATGAAATTAAATCCACATGTAGTTCGCAGCCTGAGCAATATCACACTTAAGCCTTAAAGAACTTAAAAGCAGTATAACAATTTATATATATATATATATATTTTTTTTTTTTTTTTTTGCGGCAGGTTTTTTTTAAAGATCCAGGGACCCTTTGAGTAGTCTATAAATTCCCATGTAATAAAGCTGAAAATATTTTAATATTCTGGGAAAAAAAGGAACTTGCTCCAGGCAGTTGAGTAACAGGCAATGAAATCAGATCACTTCTTAACTCCATCATTTGGTTAAGACATCAGAAAACAAACCCACCTCAATTCTGCAGTCTCAGGTAAAATGTTTTGTGGTCATTGTATTAAAGGTGGAACTTCTGTTCCCCAGCATGATCCTCATCCTCCCCCAAGTGCATCTTCTTGCTCCAAACTTTCCCCTCATCTCAGGGGCCTGAGGTTCCTGAAGGTTGCTCTTTCCAGTTAAGACCAGGCAGATGGTGGCGTTGAGTCCTTTGGCCTTTTTGGGGTCCTTCCTGACCAGATCCCTGCCCCATTTGGCAGCAAGCCCTCCAAAGGTGCACACAGCAGGCTGAATGCTGTATTTCACACAAGTGCCATATTCATAAGCTTCAGTGCAATGCCTCCACCAAATTCCTTTTACCAGAGCAAAACCAGGATATTTCTCAGCACAACAAATGTGTAACTGTTGAGCTGGCCAATTATTTGATTACTTTTTTCTTTCTATATTTATTTATTTATCTATTTTTAAAAGAGCTCAAGGTAGACTTCTTACAGCATTCCTGCTGCTTCTTCCATCAAGAAAAGTACTTCGGAGAGCTTTTGCTATTTCTTAGTGGGAAAAGATGCTTGGAGATGTAAATATTGTTAGGAAAGGTACCTCCTTGACCTTCGGCTAACTAAATAAAGGAAAAAAAGGGGGAAAAACCCACAAAGAAACAGAAATCAGGCAATGCAAATGAAATAATCCTGTATAATATTCTATGGAATAAATTTACTCATGTATTTAGTCATGAAGAGGAAGCAGCAGTCCCTAGGTAGACACTTCAGTGTCAGAATAACACTAGCTGAGGCAAAAGGTTGTAGGATTACTTTTGTTTTAAATATGCAGTCCAGTTTTCTTGAGGGAGTTCCCTTCAATTTGCTGCATGAAATCAGAATCTAGCAGTGCTCTGCAACAGCGATAGCCTGCCAAGCTTCTGCGATTGCTCCCTCCCTGCAATTTTCTTTTTTAACAAACTTTCCCCTAAAAAGCCTGTTGAGCTGCTTTAGGAGAAATGGAACTTTTCTGGACCCCAACTTTTCTGAATTGGGGTGTATTGTTAGGGCATGTGTGTATTGTAGCTCGAGAGACTGTTGTGCTGCGTCTTTGTTTCTTTCAAAACTATCTAAACTCAATGTGTGCACCTCACCCTGATCTCCCATTGTGTGCAACCTTCTCTGCAGATGTGAATTAGAAACAAAACACTGCATTTTTGGTACTGGTACAGCAGCTGAAGAGCATCCAGCCTGGATGCCCAAATCACACCTACATTGAGCAAGCAGCTGGTGGTCCCTGCCTGCTGGCTTCATGTCCAGCCTCTTCTGGGTCTTGGTTTATGGTGGCAATGGGGAAATTAATCTTTTACTGGGGATTAGTGAAGATCTGGGGCTGAGGAGGATGCTTTTGCTAGGAAAAAAATAGCTCTTAATCCAATGTGGCAGCTTGAAGTGTACCAAGGCTTGCTCGTCTCCATTGGTTTTGCCTTGCACTCTGAGGAAGGGCTACAGCCTCCAGGTGCAGGGGCTGGCCACTTCTGATGGCAGAGGTGGTTTTGTGGTCACATATAAGAACCTGCAGGTTTCTCCTGCCGCTTCAAACAACACAGGCACACTTGTATTATTACCTGAAAACCAGCAGTAGTTCATGGGCTGTGAACATTAACGCGGTTTTGTGGGGTTTTTGTACAACAGCTCATTTGCCTGATTGATTAAAGGGATGTGACTTTATAATGCAACATTACAGAAGAGATTCAGAGCAGCCCTGTGGAGAAGGACTTGCAGGTGTTGGTTGATGAGAAAATGAACATGAACAGGCAGTGTGCGCTCACGGCCCAGAAAGCCAACCATATCCTGGGCTGCATCAGAAGAAACGTGACCAGCAGGTCAAAGGAGGTGATCCTGCCCCCCTACTCTGCTCTTGTGAGACCTCACTTAGAGTACTGTGTGCAGTTCTGGTGTCCTCAACATAAAATGGACATGGAACTGTTGGAACAAGTCCAGAGGAGGGCCACGAGGATGATCAGGGGACTGGAGCACCTCCTGTATGAAGACAGGCTGAGGAAGTTGGGGCTGTTCAGCCTGGAGAAGAGAAGGCTGCGTGGAGACCTTATAGCAGCCTTGCAGTATCTGAAGGGAGCCTATAAGGATGCTGGGGATGGACTCTTCATTAGGGACTGTAGTGATAGGACTACAGTCCCTAATGGGACTGTAGGGTAATGGGTTCAAACTTAAACCCTAATGATAGGGGTAATGGGTTCAAACTTTAACAGGGGAATTTTAGGTTGGATATGAGGAGGAAGTTCTTTACTATGAGGGCAGTGAGGCACTGGAATAGGTTGCCCAAGGAAGTTGTGAATGCTCCATCCCTGGCAGTGTTCAAGGCCTGTTTGGACAGAGCCTTGGGTGGCATGGTTTAGTGTGAGGTGTCCCTGCCCATGGCAGGGGGGTTGGAACTAGATGATCCTTGTGAGAAAGAAGCAAACATAGACAAATCTGTGTATGACTGCTCTCCCTTGGTGGTTCTGTGTGCCTTTCTGGTCCCACAGTGGTGGGAACAGGCAGGAGCCCTGCAGGTAGTTGGGTGGCAAGTGGAGTTGGGGTTACCTTGCACACTTGCCTTAACTACAGCTGCTGAGGTATTCAAACCTTCTGTTCACAGCAAATAACTGCAAACAACAGCCTTCCCTTAGGTATACCACTCACCTCTCCCAGTGTGGCTCTTGCCTTGGATCAGCTGTAAATCCATGCAGTCAGAGGCCAGAAGGTGGCCAGCTTGGTTTACCTGATGCTCCTGGGGGTCTCCTTTTGCTCCGTGCAAGCTACAGTGTAAAGAGATATGTGCATCCAGAATAGTATTAGGTTGTCTTCAGAGAAAAAAAACAGGAACTGTTGATATTTGGAGTTTAAAAACCTTCTTTGCCTCCTTTCCTTCCTACCCCCCCCCCACTCCCCCCCCCCTCCAATTTGCAAACTGAAGATTCGGATGTGTTATTATCTATTCCAGATTTCCAGAAGGCTCATCTCCACACTAAGCCAGAGGCTCTCCATCATTATAATCATGGGCTATGTTTGCCTTTTGATCTAAGC